CTCCCCCTGCCAGCTGTTACCATGGAGCCCAATTGTAACTTATCTTAAAAATGTAGACATCTCTGTGAAGCCCAGCTCAAGGCCAGAGGCCTTGTTTGCACATTTCTTCAAAGTACTATACTGGATATGTTTGTGAAAACTAGTAAGGGGGTGTCTAGCACCTGGAGTGCTGGTATCTTCCCGGCCAGTGGCCAAGTAAACAGGGTGACACGAAAATAGGAAGTTTATCTACAATGGACTCTTTTGCAGAGACTCTTTTGCTGACAGTCTAAAATCAGCCATGGTGAAGAGGGCTTTTCTGTGGAGAAAGGGGGTGCCACTTCAGTACAACACAAAGCATAGGAGTTACCATTAGTGACATGCAGTGTGTTAACAGAGTTGCGCAACCATCGCCACTGCCTAGTTCCAGAATGTATCTGCGCTCGGGAAAGGAAAGCCCACACCCATTCAGCAGTCACTTCTGCTCTCTCCTTCCAGGGCAGTTCTTTCTGTAGGCTTGAATCTGCTTTCTGTCTCTATAGATTTGACTATTCTGGATACTTCCTACAAATGGAGTCACATAATATGTGGTCTTTTGTGATGGGCTTCTTTCACTTAGCATGTTTTCAAAACTTATCCCTGTTTAGCTTGCATTGGGAATTCATTCCTCCTTATGGCTGATAATCCATTGTGTGTACATACCATATTTGTTTATCCGTTCAAATACCCAGTTGATGGGTATTTGGGTTATTTCCACCTTTGGCTTTTGTGGATATCGCTGCTGCTATGAACACTTGTATATATTTGGAACACAGATTTTTAATTCTTTTGATTATATACCTCAGAATGGAAATTTTGGATCAACTTTTTGAGGAATCACCAAATTGATTTTTAATAGAGGCTGTGCCAATTTACAACCCCACCAGCAATGTATGAGTGTTCTGATTTCTCCACATCCTCAACAACACTTGTTATTTTCTTTTTTAATATTTTTATTTTTCAGTTTTCGGCAGACACAACATCTTTTGTTTTGTATGTGGTGCTGAGGATCGAACCCGGGCCGCACGCATGACAGGCAAGTGTGCTACTGCTTGAGCCACATCCCCAGCCCCTTGTTATTTTCTGTTAAAAAATTTATAACCATCCTAGTGGATGTGGAATAGTATCTCGTTATAGCTTTTTTTTTTTTTTTTTTTTGGTGTTGTTGGTACTGGGGATTTAACTTAAGAGTGCTTAACCACTGAGCCACATTCCCATCCCTTTTTATTTTTTATTTTGAGAAAGGGTCTTTCTAAGTTGCTTAGGGACTCACTAAGTTGCTGGGGCTGATCTTTTTTTTTTAATACCTTTATTTTATTCGCATATTTTTATGTGGTGGCGGGGATCGAACTCAGTGCCTCATGCACGCTAGGCAAGCACTCTGCCCACTGAACCACAACTCCAGCCCCTGGGGCTGATCTTGATCTTGTGATCCTCCTGCCTTAGCCTCCTAAATCACTGGGATTACAGGTATGCACCATTGCACCCAGTTCCGTATCATTTTGATTAGCATTTCTCTAATGACTCATGATTTTAAACATATTTTCATGTGCATATGAGTCATTTGTTCATCTCTGTAGAAATGGCTATTTAAATTGTTTGCTCAATCGCTCTTGCTTGCTTTCTTTCTCTGTCTCTGTCTCTCTCTGTCTCTCTCTCTCTCTCTGTATCTCTGTGTCTCTCTCTTTTTTTTCCAGTGCTGGAGATTGGAAACAGCACCTTGCACATGCAAGCCAGAGCTCTGCTACTGAGCCGTATCCTTAGCCCTGTTAGTCGAATTTTTAAGTGGGTTGTCGGTCTTTATGTTATTGCATTGTAAGAATTCCTTATATATTCTGAATACTATACCCTTATCATCTATATAATTTACTAACATTTTCTACCATTGTGTAGATTGTCTTTTCACTTGTGGACAGCGCCTTTTGATGTACAAATATTTTTACCTTTTTTTTTTTTGTCCTGGGGGTTGAATCCAGGGGTGTTTTACCATTGACCTATGTCTCAAGTCCTTTTTATTTTTTAGTTTGAGATCAGGTCTCACTAAGTTGCTGGGGATCTTGCTAATTTGTTTAGACTGGCTTTGAACTTGTGATCCTCCTGCTTCGGTCACCTAGGTCATTGGGTTATAGGCATGTACCCCTGTGCCTGTCAAATTTTTACCTTTGATGAAGTCCAGTTTATCTATTTTTGTTGCTGCTTATGCTTTTGGTGTTATACCTAAGAAACCATTGCGATTGCCAAGGTCATGAAGATTTACTCCTGTGTTTTCTTCCAAGAGTCTTATAGTTTTAGCTCTTACTTTTAGGTCCTTAATACATTTTGAGTTAAGTTTTGTAGAAGGTAGGAGTCCACCTTTATTCTTTTGCATGTCAATATCACTATCTGTTGAAGAGACTGTTCTTTCCCCATTGAATAGTTATACCCTTATCAAAATCAATTGATCTCATATGCATGGGTTTATTTCCGGACTTTCAATTTTATTATATTGGTCTATCCTTATGCCAGTACCACACTGTTGCATGATTTATGTATGTGTGTATGTGTGGTGCTAGGGATTGGACCCTGGGCCTTATGCATGCTAGCAAGTGCTCTACCATTAAGGTATAATTCCAGCCCTGATGCATGCAATTTTAAAGGAAGACTTTTGTGGTTCACTTTGGAAAATAATTTGTTGGGAGCAGGACTACAAACAGGAGCGTCTATTGAGTGAGCAATTCCAAGATGCAATTCCAAGATTCAACCCAAGGCAATGGGACATGGACTAGGGTCTGGCAGAGGGAATGGAGAAATGTTCTGGATCTAGAATGAGCAGAACGTGGCTAAAATTGCATGCAGCAAGTGAGAAACATGGTAGTCAAGGATCCTACTGTTCCTGCATTGGGTGATGATTTCATTTCTTTGTAATAGAGAATTGGAGGGTCTGGGGAGTTCTGGTTTGGATTGTCTGGATCTGAGGTGCCCCAGTGTCAGATGTTGAGCACGTGCACATCTGTTTATACAAACATACTTGCACAAGTGGCCAACACATTCTGGGCCCACATATCTGATAATCTGGTCTCAAAGAGGAACCGGAAGATCTTTGATAATTCTACCCATTAAGGTACTGGGGGGCAGTGCACTAGCAGCCCCTGCCCAGGGTCTGGAGAGGATGGTTGAGTTCAGGGAGAGGGATGGCCATCAGCCAGTGCTTCTCACTCTTGCACTGGATGAGCTGTTTTATAGCCATGCTCTGCCTTCCCCACTGTGGGCATGAGAACTTGGGGCTAAGGTCCACAGGCAGCTTGTGGCTGTCTTAGCTTCCTTGGGTCCCACAAGTCCCTCACCAGCTGCTGCTCCTCTCAATGCACAGTATCTGATGGTGGAGGGCAAACCATGGACTGCCCCAGGGCCTGTCAGGCAGCTCTGAAGACTGGCTTCCCTGTAGCAAGGTGGAGGAGAAGGACTGAGAATGTGGGGATGATCCAATCTTTTCTCATGAAGAGGTTCAACCAGGGTTGAGACCTGTGGCATTCTGCCCAAGGGACATGATACTGAGCATCTGCTGGGGTGCAGGAGGACACTAGTGCCTTTTTCCACAGCCCTAACTAGGTAGTTCTTTCAAAATCCTACTCACTGCTTCTTAGCTGCACACCCCTATTTTTCCAGGTTGAAAATGCCTCTCTTTCATAACTGTGACGTGTGTGTGCACGTGCATGTGCCTGTGTGCATGGATGGGAGGGAAGATCAGGGAAAAATCCAAGATCCTCTTTAAGTGAAAGAAGACAAAATTATGAATACAAAATTAAGTACAGGGCTTTGGCAAGGGACTGTGGAATCAAGCAGCCCACATTTAAAATGCCTGTGTGAAATCGCCCTGGTACTAGGGGGCAGTGTATACTTTCTGATCCTGGGGCATGTGCCCCAGGAACCTCTGTAGGGAACAATGGCCACTGAGGACGTCATAGCTCTTTCCCACAGTGCCCAGCAAAGGAATGAAATGAGCAGCTGTCATTTAGGTCAGGCCTTGGCCGGGCCATGAGCTCCATGGCAGGCCCGATAACTATCACCTCTGGGTGAGACAGGGACTTTGTGCCCCTGAGGAGAACAGGACCTGCAGGGAGAAGTCTCTTGTCCTGATCTACCCAGGCTAGTGAGAGGATGAGCTTGGGGTTTGAATTCAAGACAATGTGAATCCAGATCTATGATCTTCCCAAAGCCAAGTTATAAAGAGCACAGCACATTTGCGGAGGGAGGAAATGATTCGGTGACCAAGTTGGTGTGTGAGTAGGGATGGAATGACCTAGCAAAAGTGGAGGAGAGAGAGAAGGATCAGACAATGGACCCAAACTTTTCTGAGCATTTACTGCGTGCCAGGTGCTATGCTAGACATTAGATATGGGCAGAGAGCCAGGCGGTCACGGTCCCTGCTCTTAGGGAGTTTAGTCTGGTGGGGAAGCCAGATTCTGGGTGCCAGGGAAGGTGAAGGGAATGAGGTGTCCTGAGAACTTACAGGTGCCCTCACCTATCTAGAAGACCCTGAGCCTTGAAAGATGAAGCTATAAGCAGTAGCTGAGGAAGGGGAGTGGAGAAGGAGCACCCAGCCATTGGGAGGTCCAGACATAACTGTTTTTTTTTTTTTTTGGAAAGACTCAAAGGAACCGAGCAAGGGTGGAATGGAGAGGGGAAGAGGGTATATGGAGGGCAAAAATTGGGCCCAGAGACACATGCAGAGGGTCTTTTAATGACAGGGCACTTTTCCTAAAGATGACAGAAGGAGTTTAGGCAGGAATATAGAGATGGTCTTAGCTGCCCAGAGGGCCAATGGGGTGAGTGACCTTTCTCCTTTTGACCTTCACCAGTAGTATTGAACTAGAGGACTTGGTCTGTGTATGTGCACACAATGTGGGGAGTGGCGCATGTGTGTTCCCACCTGGCCGATAGACTGCTCTGTGGGAGTTGAAAAAGCTGTTCTTTTCCTGACTTGATTTCCTTCTGCATCTCCTCCTAGGGGCCCACACCTGCTTAAGAACACCATGTACGCAGGTGAGCGACCCAACAATTCTGCAGGGAGCGTGGCCCCGGGGTGTGTGTGGGGGGGGTGGAGGACTGGGGAGTCCACCCAGTGGTTAGATTGCTGCACTGAGCAGGTTCTGTTTCTGGTACGGCCCGTGCTCTTCTCTACGGAGTCAGCCTCACCCAGAACAGGCCAGCCGTCAAGGGCCACAGGCGGCTCTGCCAATGTGGCTTTGAGATTAGTGCTGTGACCACATGCAGAGTAGTTCTAGCAACTTCAGAGCTTGTCTCTGGCTTGCAGTGCCCCAAGGCTCAGGGATCCTTGCTAGTGCACCTACATGGCCCTGACACAGGTACCCTGCTGGAATTCGGCTCCTCCCCCTTTTCTACCTAAAGCGGAAGAGGTTCCTGGTCTGTCCATTGTAGACTTGCACCTTTGTGCCTGGCATTGTGTTAGGAGCTGTGAGTGCCCCAGAGTCCAAGATAAGACAGTTCTAGACATCCAGAGCTTGACCCTAGTAAGGGCCAGACTACCCAGTGAGCGGCTGGAATGAAGGGGGATGCATTTTTACTGGGAATAGTGGGACTGGCAAAGGATGACAGGGGGAGGTTTGAAGCCAAGAGCACTGCCCTTGTTCAGGGTCATGAGCTGAGGGGAAGCAGGCTGTGGTCAGAGAAGGGGTTACCCACCAAGAGAGCAAGGAGGGGAACAGGGTGTGATGGGGCTGGAAAGGTGGTCCAAGGACCATCAAGTGCTTGTAAGTCACAGCAAGAGGCCCTCATTCTAAGAATGGTGAGCCGGCAGGGGAAGTTTTAACAAGTGCAGCCTAGTGGCCTTTGTCTTCTCTCAGGGGTCCTGCAGGGAGCTCGACAGTTGGCCATTGAAAAGAAGGGGCAGTAGCATTGAGAGACCTCCAGACTGCACATGGCCCTGAGTCCAATGGCTGGTGTGGTCCTCCATGAAGACCCAAAGATGACACCAAGTCTCAATTCTGGTACCCTCGCTGGGCCCAACATGGATGTGGCCTTTGATCCTATCTTGAGTCCACCCCATAGTCCTGGAGTGCCTCTCGTTCCAGACCTGAATCCAACTCTGAATCTTGTTCCAGAGGAGGCCTCTGACCTAATTCCTGATAACACCGCCAGCCCCGAAGACAATCCGAGTCTCATCTCAAAGCCTGACCCACAGGGGTCCCTTAGTCCAGCCTCAAACCCTGTTCTGAGCCCAGGCCCTGCAGAGGCCACCTGTCTGAGCTCAGGGAACCACTCTGGGCTGAATCCTGAGCAGGACTGCAAGCCCCTTCTGAGCAAGATGTTTGATTTGGGTCAGAGTAACTCCAACCCTTCCAGGCCCGATTTGAGCTCATTTATGAGGTCCCATTCTAGAGAAGCCCTGGTTCTGGGCCACTGTGTCTCTCGGTCGGGCTCACAAGCACCCCTTATTCGAGTCTCAAACACTACTCTGGACCCTGGCTCTAATCAGCTTCTCGATGTGGGCTCAAAAAACATCTGCGCACTAAACCTGAACACTGATGCAGATTCTGGTGGCACCCCAATCCCAGACACAAATGAGACTCTCAATTTGGCTCCACGTAACATCGCTGGGTCTATTTCCAAAGGATCCTTTGGTGCAACCTGGAGCACAAGTTCAAAGGGGACCGTCAACGTGGCTTCTAATAGTCTCCCCAGACCTGATGTGAACATGACTGTCACTCAGGCCTCATGCTTGACCCTGATTTCTGCCTCGAGCGATGGTGTCAGCATGCATTCTGCTGCCCATGGCCCGAGGTCCTCCCTCTCGCCACCCTCATGCCTGACTCTGATCCTGGGCTCCAATGAGACTCTGAGCATGGGCTCCAGCCTCATGATCAGTGACACCTCCACCTTGACATTGAGCAGGCAGCAGGAATATTCTGAGGACAATAGCATTCGCACCATGCCCCTGGAGGGGACTCTGGACAGCTGGGCCGAGGTGTGCAACAATGTAGTCAACGACAGCTTCCCTGAGGGTGAGTAAGGAAGGGCCACAGCTCTAAAGGATGACTGTACTCAGACTCATAGGGCAGAGGGGGGAGCAGAGAGGACAGGGGAAGGGAGCAGCCTGCAACAGATAGCACAATGGCAATAGCACACAGAGACCTAGCACTTGACTTAGAATGAGCTGCTTAAACTCCCTGAGAAGTTGATGTTCTTCTTCTCCTCCTCCTTTTTTTTTGATCCTGGGGATTGAACCAGAGAGCATTTTTTACTACTGAGTCACATCCCCAGTCCTTTTTAAAAAATTTGAGACAGGGTTTCATCAAGTTCCTGATAACACCGCCAGCCCCGAAGACAATCCAAGTCTCATCTCAAAGCCTGACCCACACTAAGCTGCTGAGGCTGGCTTTGAACTTGTGATCTTCCCGCCTCAGCCTCCCAAGTCGCTGGGATTATAGGCATACGCCATCACACCCAGAACTATATAATATTTTTATTCTGTCCAAATTCTAAGTCTATTTAGCAACTATACCTTCTGTTCAGAATGTCCACCTTTTTGTGGAAAAATTTTGGGCCCTACTCCTCAGGCCAAGGTTTGGCCAGTGGCCGGGTAGCTCAGACTCAGCTCACCACTGTTGAGACTTCAGGGTCTCCACCAGGTCAAGACCCTATAGTCCTGTCTGGAACTGGTTCTTCTTCCTGATTTGCAGTTCTGTAATTCATTCTCTATCAGTTTCTACTGCTATAAACATCTTCTCCTAATCAATTTTTGTTTATGTACCAATACCGTGTGATTTAAAAAAAAATTACCATGGCTTTGTAAATATATATTCACATCTGGTAAGATGAGAGAATTCCTCCTCAAAAGTAAATTCCTCCTGAAAATTGACTTAGCAGGGAGCTGGGGTTGTGGCTCAGTGGTAGAGCGCTCGCCTAGCACACCTGAGGCGCTGGGTTCAATCTTCAGTACCACATAAAAAAAAATAAAATAAATGTATAAAAAAATTGACTTAGCAATTAGTAGACCTTCATTATGCCATATACATTTTAAAATAAATTTGTGTAGGTCCTCAAAAACATTTATTGGCATTTTTATTAGAATGCTATTGGTTTGTCTATGTATTCAAGTTTTCCTTGCTATAAGGTATATGGAAAATTTAGGTCTAGTGCATTCTTTGATGGATTAAACTTAGCTATTTTATGGTTTTAATTGGTATCATAAATCAGATCTTGTTTCCTTTTTTTTTAAGTTGTTGATAATCGACCTTTATTTTTTGTTTATTTTTATATGTGGTGCTGAAAATCGAACCCAGTGCCTCACACATGCCAGGCAAGTGCACTACTGCTGAGTCCTAGCCCCAGCCCTAGATTTTGGTTTTTAATACAATTCTTCTTTGATATTGATGATTCTGATAATGTAGAGGAAATTTGTTTTTGACAGTTATTTTTTTTTTTAAGTACTGGGGATTGAACTCGGGGGCACTGAGCTACATCCTCAGTCCATTTTTAAAAAATATTTCTTTTAGTTGTTGATGGACACAATATCTTTATTTTTATTTATTTATTTTTACACAGTGCTGAGGATTGAACCCAGGGCCTCATGCATGCAAGGCCAGTGCTCTTCCACTGAGCTACAACCCCCAGCCTCTCCTTAGCCCTTTTTTGTCATTTTGAGACAATCTTGCTAAATTGCCAGGTTGGTTTTGAACTTGGGATGCTCCTGCCTCAGCCTCCTGAGTAGCTGAAAATACATGTATGTATAATACCTGGCTCAAGTAGGTTTTATTTTAAACAATTTTATTGAGATATAATTTACTATGTAAAATCTGATTCCCTCCTTTAAGGTGTACAATCTAAAAGCTATATTATATACAGAGTTGTGCAACCATGGCCATGATCAGTTTTGGAACATTTTTATCACCCCAAAAGAAACCCTATACCATTTAGATATAATCACCTACCCAACCCATATCCAGCCCTAGACAGTCACTAATCTACATTCTGTCTGCATAGATTTACCTATTTTGAGCATTTTATATAAGTGGAATTATTCAGTATGTGGTTCTTTGGGATTAGCTTCTTTCACTTGGCCCAATACTTTCAAGTTTCATTCATGTTATAGCCTGTATTGCCATTTCATCCCTCTTTATGGCTGAATAAGATTCCCCTGTAGGAACATGCACATTTTGTTAATGACCAAATGGGTTGTTTCTATATTTTGGCTATTTTAAGTAATGCTACTATGAACATTTAACCACAAAATTTTGTATAGACGCACATTTTTATTTCCCCTTGGTATATGCCTTGGAGTGGAACTACTGGTTATTCTAGATTTAGTTTTTGTGAAACCATTGGTAATTTCCACTAGCAATGTAGGAGGTTTCCATTTTTTCATGTTTTTGCCAACATTTATTTTTCTTCCCTCACTCCCCAATAGCCAACTTAAAGGGTGTGGAGTGATATCTTACTGTGGCTTTGATTAGTGACTAATGTGGCTTTGATTAGTGACATCTTTCCATGTGTTTTTTTTTTTTTAATTTTTTATACCTTTATTTTAATGTGGTGCTGAGGATTGAACCCAGCACCCCGCATGTGCTAGGCGAGCGCTCTACCACTGAGCCATAACCCCAGCCCTCCGTGTGCTTTTTGGCCATTTGTATATTTCTGTTGCAAAACTATCTATTCAAATCCTTTCCCTATTTTTGAATTTGTTTGTTTGTGTGGTTGAGTTGTAGTTCTTTACATGTTCTGAATATTATTCCCTTATTAGATATATGACTTGAAAATATTTCGTGCAATTCTGTGGATTAGCTTTTCATTCTGTTCTTTTTTTGGGGGGGATACTGGGGATCAAACCCAGGGGCACTTTACCTTGAATTACACCCCCAGCTCTTTTTATTTTATATTTTGAGACAGGGGTCTTGCTAAGTTGCTGAGGCTGGCCTTCAACTTGCAATCCTCCTGCCTCAACCTCCTTAGCCACTGGGATTATAGGTGTGTGCCACTGCTCCCAGCTACATTTAAATAAAACTATATTTATATTTAAATTTTAACTATATATAGTTAATAAATTTTAAATACATTTTATGTATAACTATTATAATATATTTTAAATATAACTACAAATTGTATATTATTATCATCATTATTATTATTATCATTATCATCATCATTATGGTTTTTGGTACTGGGAATTTAATCCAGGGACACTTTACTACTGAGCCACATCCCCAGCCCTTTTTATTTTTTATTTTGAGACAGGGTCTTGCTAAGTTGCTTAGGGCCTTGCTAGTTGATGCAGCTGGCCTCAAACTTGTGGTCCTCCCGTCTCAGTCTGCCTAGTTGTTGAGATTACAGGCACCAGCCCAGCTTGCAATATACTTTAAATATCAATAATATACTCTTGTATGCATGTGTTTATATATGTGTGTGTATATATGGATCTCTCTGTCTGGTTCAACTTCATTTCTTTTTGAATTAAAAAGGTTTATTTTCCCCCAATTTTCTTTTTACTGTGTTAAAATACACATAGCATAGAATTTACCATCTTAGCCATTTTATTTCATTTATTTACTTTAAAGTTTTTTTTTTTTTAGTTGTTGATGGACACAATATCTTTATTTTATTCATTTATTTTTATGTAGTGCTGGGGATTGAACCCAGTGCCTCATGTGTGCAAGGCAAGCGCTCTACCACTGAGCCACAACCCAGCCCTCATTTATTTACTTTTTTAATGTATATTTTTTAGTTGTAGTTGTCGATACCTTTATTTATTTATTTATTTTTATGTGATGCTGAGGATCGAACCTAGGGCCTTGCATGTGCTAGGCGAACGCTCTACCACTGAGCTACAACCCCAGACCCCATCTTAGCCATTTTAAATGTGCATTTCTGTAGTATTAAGTACAATCTTGTGTAGCCATCACTACCCTCAATCTCCAGAGCTCTCTTCGTCTTATTAAACTGAACTTCTGTTCCCATGAAACAATAACTCCCCATTTCCCCAAGCCCATCCCCAGGCACCCAAAATGCAACTGGCTGTCTTCCTTGATTTATGATGACCTTATATTCCTAATGCATTCTTCTACATGTGGATGTCCAGCTTTCCTAGCACTATTTATTGAAAACACTGTCCTTTCCCCAGTGAAGTCTTAGCATTTTATTCAAAAATCATTTGACCCTGTAAGGGAGCATTTATGTTGGGGTTCTCTATTCTAATCTGTTGGTCTTCACATCTGTCCTTGTGCTAGTACCATGTTGTTTTGAAATCAGGGAGTGTGAGACCTCTAGCTCTGTTTTACTTTCAAGATTGTTCAGCTATTCAGGAGGGATATATATATATATATATATATAATTATTATTATTATTATTTTTTTTTTGGTACTGGGGATTTAATCCAGGGGCACTTTACCACTGAGCCACATCCCCAGCCCTATTTTGTATTTTATTTACAGACAAGGTCTCACTGAATTGCTTAATGCCTTGCTAAGGGATTGAACCCACAGTTGTTCTACCACTGAACTCCCCCTGCCAGCCCTTTTGTAATTTAAAAAAATTTGAGAGAGTTTCTCACCAAGTTACTTAGGGCCTTGCTAAATTGCTGAGGCTGGCTTTGAACTTGCTGTCCTCCTGCCCCTGCCTCTTGAGCTGCTGGGATTACAGGCATACCCCACTGCTCCCAGCACTGTGAACCTTTTGGTATATGACTTTTGGTGCAGAGACCTTTATGTAAGAGTGGAATTTCTGGGTCATAGTGTATGCATATTTACAGCTTGAGTAGACATCGCCAAATAGCTTTTGGTCCTTGCTGCTGTAACAAAATACCAGAGGTTGGGTGATTTATAAATAACAGAAATTTATTTCTCAGAGTTCTGGAGGCTAGAAGTTCAAGATCAAGGTACCAATATTTGGTGTTTTGTGAAGGCCTTCTTACAATATCTTCACATGGCAGAAGGGACAAATGCTGTGTTCTCATGAAGGTAGAAGGGGAAGAACAGGTTGAAGGCTGTGTAAAGCCTCTTTTATTTTGTTTTTGTAGTACTGGGGGTTGAAACCAGGATCGCTTTACTGCTGAGCTATACCATCAGACCTTTTTATTTTTTTATTTTTATTTTGAGAAAGGGTCTCACTAAATTGCTGAGAGTCTTGACACGTTGCCCAGGCTGGCCCTGAACATGCAATCTTCCTGCCTCATCCTCCTGAATTACTAGATTACAGATGTGCTGCACTGTACCTAGTTGAGGCCTCTTTTTAAAGGTGTCTTTATCTCATTCATGAGAGAAGAACTTTCATGACCTAACATTCCTAAAGTCCATCCCTCTTTGTACTGATGCATTGGAAACTAGGTTTTAGCATGAATTTGGAGGGACACAAGTGTTCAAACCATAGCAGTGGTTGAATTAATTTACCCTCCCATAATGTGAGAGTTCAGTGTGTTCCACATCCTCACCAACATTTGGTATTGTCACTAATGACTCAAGATGGCTGCAGTCATGTCAAGCAGTACCTTTAACCATTCCCTTAATTACTGGGTTTTAGAGTTACTCTTTTTTTAAACTTCTTTTTACATGGACATTATAATTCTACATACTAGTGGCTTCCTGGGGCCATATTCTTACATACACAGAGCATAATTTGATCAATCTAATTCCCCAGTACCTTCCATTTCCCTCGCTTCTCCCTCTCCCCAATCTACTGGCTCTGTTCTTTTTATTTATTTATTTATTTATTTACTGGCTCTGTTCTAATGATCACCTTTCCATTCTTTTTTTGGGGAGGCAGGGGAGGGGGGTACTAATGATTGAACTCAGGGCAGTTGACCCCTTAGCCACATCCCCAGTCCTATTTTGTATTTTATTTAGAGGCAGGGTCTCACTGAGTTGCTTAGTGCCTTGCTGTTGGTGAGGCTGGCTTTGAACTCATGATCCTCCTGCCTCAGCCTCCTGAGCCACTGGGATTACAGGCGTGGGCCACCACACTGGCTCTCTTCCATTCTTATTGTTGTTTTATTAATTAGTGCATTATAAATAAATGCATGACTCATTGTGGTATATTTGTACATGAGCATGGCATAATTTGTAGATTTTGTTCCCCAGGACTTTTCTGGGCCCTCCCATTGTCCCTTCTGCTCCATCATCTTAGTTTTACTCTGTGGTCTCTCTTCTGTTTTCATGAGCTTCCTTTTTATTCCTTTCTTTCTCTAGTTCCACATGTGAGAGAGAACATTTAGTTACTCTTGATATCTAGTACCACAGTCCTCCAACTTAGCTCTTCCTGAAGATGCTCTGTTCTAGGCTGGGCACGGTGGTGCACACCTGGGATCCCAGCAGCTCAGGAGGCCGAGGCAGGAGGATCACAAGTTCAAAGCCAGCCTCAGCAACTTAGTAAGGCGCTAAGCAACTCAGTGAGACCCTGTCTCTAAATATAAATAAATAAAAAGGGCTGGGGATGTGGCTCAGTGGTAAAGTGCCCCTGGGTTCAGTCTCCAGTACGAAACAACAACAACAACAACAACAAAACCTCTGTTTTAAGTGCTCTGCTTTTCCATATAAACTCTAGGAACAACTTGTCAAATTCCACAAAGTAAAATAGAATGACAACCAGCTGGGATTTTCTTTGGGATTCCATTAAACCCATATATATAGTGTCCTCTATATAGTGCTGTTTCCAAGCCCCAGTCCTTTCATATGTAAAGTGATGACTTGGGTGTCTGTGTGTCTTCTGCTTGTGTCCTTTGTCCTGCTGATCCTGTTTCTTTTTTCTGTCCTTTTTTGGCTTTGGGGTGGTTGTTTCTCCTCACTTTCTCTCCTTTCCTTGGTTGGAAGTAATATCCTGTGCTGTCTTTTATTTGTAGAAGTTTGTTTTGCAGTTCTGGGGAGGAGCCCAGGGCCTGGAGCATGTTAGCCACACACTATACTGAGCCACCCAGCACCTCTGTGCTCTTTTAGTGATTCTGTAGAGAAGCTTTAATGTACAGGTTGAATAAAAGTGTCCAGTTTACCCAATACAAATATCCTTCTCCCAGAGAGTTTAAGATTTAGGAACACGTTAATCCCATTTAATTCACTCCCCCCAATTTATATGCTATTGCAGTAAGACATTTTAATTCTAAGTTCTTAAATTCATAAACCTTATTTATTTTATATAGTTCACATTCTTCTATTTACTCAAATATTAACCTCCTTCAGTTGCTTCTTTATTTATTGTTGTCTCAGACCTTCTATTTGGGATTAATTTTCTCTGGCCTGAAGGATACCCTTTAGAATTTCCTTTGGTGAATTCTGCTGATAGTAATCTCAACTTTTATCTTAAAATGTCTATTTTTCTTGATATTCGAAATTTCCTTAATTTGGCGAGTGGAATACCCTTCAAGTAAGTGTTCCTGTTCTCTTGAAATATCCCGCTTTCTTCCTTGTTTTCTGATACAAGATATCCCAGGCGCATCCTGGGCTCCCCTGCCCAAGTCTTGCAATCAGCCGTTTCTGCAGGGAGCCCCGTTGGTGGCAGTGGTTGGAAGCCAAGTCTTGATTGATTGAGTGATTGGAAGCCAAGGTCTTGGCCCCAGCGAGGTCCGCGTTCGGTTCTCCCCATTGGCGCCTTCCTCTGGCAGCCTCTGGCGGTTGCAGCCAAGGTGCCCCAGAGTTCCAGCTCTCACAGGTTCTGGTTCTTGATCTCAGAATTCTGAGAGAGACCTGCTGACCTTCAGTGTCCCCTCAGCACCCATAAGTAAAGGACCATAACTAGCCCTGCTCACCTAAGTACCCGCCCCTGAAGCAATCACTGGGGCTCTTCTTGGCCACGTTTGGGTTCAGGGCCTCCCCCCCCCCCACCCCCGCTAGCTGAAGAAGGGGTGATGGGCGGGGCTTCCAGCGTTCTGGGGGACTCAGTCGCTGGAACACCCACCGGAAGAGCCCAGGGAAAAGGGGGGCCCTTCACCCCGCAAAAAGTGAGAGAATTGGGGGCTGAGCAGTAGCAGGTGCCTAGTGAAACAAATAAGTGGTCACTTATAAATTGGGTAACTAGGAGGCCGCACCGAGGGGCCAGTGGGCCCTCATTTGGCCCAAGGGTCAGGAGAGGCATCTCTGAGGAGTGGCAGGCAAAGACCAGAAGGAAGGGACCCAGGAGGGACAAGGGGGAATGGCAGGGGAGTGACTGGGCAGTGGAAACGACCTGTGTCAGGGCCTTGGGGTACACTTGTCCAGGACTGGAGGAGGCCAGGGTGGGAGAGCAGTGGGAGATGAAGTTGGGAAGTGGAGGGGGAGGGCCCTGGCAATGGTGATGGCTTCCTGCTTAATGGAATGTGGCTCCACTGAAGGGCTTCAGGGAGGGGAGGTGACCTGAGCTGATTTATACTTTAGGCTCAGCTTGCTGGGGGAGTGAGGGTTGGGGGTGTCGGGTGGGAAGGGACTCTGGCACCCTGAGTCCCCCTATGTTCTATCTGCTTCTCTTCTCATGGAAACGCGACATGCAGAAATCTTTGATAAAGTGACCTCAAATCTGAGGAAGGTGCCAGAGAACAGAGAAGATGACAACAAACCGGCACTGGTATGCCTCTGCTTCACTCCTAGCCACTTTCCTGGGGCACCCCTCCCCACCACCCAGCTTCCTGTTCCTTGGTGGCGTTTCTTCCTCTCATGTAACATGTGCCTCTTCACCCCTGTTTCTTGTTCATCTCCTCCATTAGAATGAGTCTTCCACAAGTCAGAGATGTCTGTCTTACAGAAGCATTTTCAGCATTTAGAGCAGTGCGTGGTACCTTAGCAGGTGCGCTATGAAAGTTTTTAAGGACACAGTCATTTCCCAGTTTAGGTCTGGGCCACGCAGCAGGCGTTGGAAGCAGAGCATTTGCAGGACCTGGTGAGGGCCAGTTGGGCAGAATGGACAAGCTGGTGGACATGAAGGTGGCACTCGAGTGTGAGCAAGATCAGCTTGTGGATGGGGTCTGAAGTCAGGGGATCCACCCAGGCCGGGCCTGGCCAGCTCCAGCCCTTAGGCAGTGTGGGTGAGGGCAGGGAGAAGGTGACAGGAGCACGAGGCCCTGTATTTAGGGAACAGTCATCCTCATCCTTCTTGTCATCTGCCTTACTCTTGCCCTTCCCTCTTCTCACACCCTGAACTCCTTCTCGACTCTTTGTCTTTGCCCTTTCCATTGATAGAAGTGGAAAAGAACTCTGGGCCATCTTTACCCTGCCACCATCTCCATTCTTTTTTTTCTTTACTATTTGAAATTTATTTACTTATTTCATGGCTAGCTTCTCTTCTTCACCTTTAAGATAGGGTAAGCAATAGGTTACTTGGAGGTAGGTTCCTGTGTTCCCTCTGTCATGCAGCAGAGTGCCCTAATTTGACTGGTATGTTCTAGAAGGTTCCTAAGTGTTGGGGGAATTTCAGGTTGGATGCCGAGACCTTTTCTGTCTCTCCCTGTCTTTTCCTCTCATTTCTGATCTCCAAAAGCTGGCCTTCAGGATTACCCTTCCCATCCCCATTACCAAGATTTTTCTCCAGTTTTCACCCCACTCCACCGCAAGTCCTCCCTGCCCCTGCCTAGGGGTGGGGGGAGCTTGTCATTTCTGTTGAGCTGATGCTGGGAACTGGCTTTTCAAGGTGCTGGGTGTCAGCAGATGCTCTATGCACCCCCAAGGGCTGGCTTCATTGGGGCTTCCCCTGTGGTTCTGTTCCAAGGTTGAGAACGTCAAGGCCATTCCGAAGGGCCAGGACTTGCTGGAAGGGGAAGGAAAGAAGAAGTCCATGATGAAGAAGATGATGGTGCGAGGCGGGCCACAGCGGTGTGCGGCACTGGATGGGAAGGGGTGGAATTCCTGAGCCCACCCATTGATGAGACTGGGTGAGGGTGGGTGGGGTGGGAGGAAGATAGGATGAAGGACAGGTCACCTGGACTTGAGCCTTGGCTCCCCTTCTACTTGCCCTCCACCTACCCTGAGGGAGCTTGGGCAGGTTATTTTTCTTCTCTGAGCCAACTCTCCTCATTTTGCAGATGGGGTCACAATGCCCGTGTCTCTGGGAGAATAGTCTAGTGGGCTTTCCCTGCAGAGCCTTGTGCATGGGAAATGGTTATCACTGAATCATTCTTTCCCCAGAAATTCCTCCTGGTGGGCAACTTCAGGATTGCTGAATGCAGTCTCTTCTCTGTTATCCACCAGAATGAGTTGGGCAAGATTAATCACTGAAGTTTATAAAATTATATTTGGCTTTGTGTCCCTTGAAAAAAGAGAGAGAGAAGAGACTAGGGTGTAGCTCAGGAGTCATGTGGTTGTTTAGCATGTGTGAGGCCCTGGGTTCAATCCCCAGCACACTTTCATTTATCTGATATCACTGATCACGAACTGTATGTAGGTGCTACATCAAAAGTGAAAAGTAGAAGATCCTTTTAGAGGATTCCAACCAGCAGCTTTCAGGGGCCATGAGTAGTGTTTTTTGCTTGGGCAGCTCTGTGGGTGAAATAGTCTTCTGTCACTAAGCTGCTGCAGGAACAATTTTACCGAGTTCTCCATGTGGGGTGCAGCAGGTGAGGGCTGGGGGTGTTTGGGGTTTTGAACTGAAGTTTCAGGATAGAGTTTGAGCAGTGAGCTGGCTCTCTGGACCCCTCTGGTGGGGGACTCTGCCCAAGCTGAAGGGCTGTTGCACCTGCTCCCTTGAGGAGGGGTGGCATTGGCTTTGGTGGTCTGTAACCAGGTGTCCTCATTGGCCCTCTGTGGTCCCTGTCCAGAGGCAGATCCAGGATGAGCCGCTGGATTCCCTTTCAAGCTCCGTCCGCCGGCAGGCCATGGAGACCCTGACCCAACTGAGGTGTCCACACCCTACCTCTGGGCTCTGCCTGACTCTCCTGGGCCCTTCCCTGAGCCCCTCCCTGCTCCGAGCCTCCCCCTCTCCCTGGTCCAGTCCTTGCCTGGCTGTCAGCCCTCCACACCCACTCTCCTGGTGCCACCTCATCTCGTCCTCCTGTGGCTTAGACCTCAGCATCCAGGCCTGTGCCAGGGGCCCTCACCCCTGCCCCGCACCTGCAGCCCCTCCCTCATTCCATGCCTCACTTCCTTTTTCCTCCCAGCCACACCCAGCCCATCCTGGGTGTGCGGGAGAGGGCAGAGCTGGTGAACACGTGTGTGCGGAGTGTGTTCTCACTGCCCTCGGTGCAGGCCATGCAGGAGAGAGACGAGGCCAAAGCAGAGGACATCCAGGTGAGGTGCCTGCCCTCCTTCCCAGGTGTGTCCCCAGGACTGTGGGGGGTCTTGGAATGAGCTGTGTCTCTGGACACTTAGTGGACAAGAGAAAGGGCCAGTTCTGGGAGTAGGTCGGAGCCTCTACCCTATGCCTTAGCCATGTGGCCTGGGTCACTCACCTCACCTCCCTTGGCCTGAGTTGGCATTTGATAAATTTGGTGTGTAAATAAAATCACTGCAAAGGCTGCCTCTCCATCTGGAGGCCCTTCACTTCTGGGCCCTGCCCTGAGAGAGGGAAGTGGGCAGATATTGGTATGGCCGGAGGAGGTGGCCAGGGTTGGGGGGCAGGTGCTGAGGACTGAGCCATAAGGAAGCAAGATTGGGGAGCTGGAGCAGACACCTAGAGGAGCAGAACCTCAAGGGGCTCATTTGAGCATCTTTGAAACTTCTGTGAAGTCATCGTGGGAGAAGTAGTGGAAGTGACCTTCAGTCCAGGATGAGTGGGGAGCCAGGTTGGGGGGAAGGTTGAGGAAGAGGGATTCCAGCTCAGGGTGAGGCGTGTTCACCCATCCTCCCCCTCAGCCAGTGTTAGCTGAGTACCTCTCCTTACCCGGCTCAGTGTGGGGACCTCATAGTAGTGCTCGGGGTGGAGGAACATTATCAGAGGTTCACTCAAATAAATGTAAAATCGCTGCCAGCAGGCAGTGCTACACACAGGAAAGTCTTGGTGCTGTAAAGAGCCTGAAATGGGAGACATGGCCTAGAGAGGGTCGGGGTCATGATTCTGGAGCTGAGGTTAAAGAGAACTCAGAACTGAAGGAGGGGGCAGAAGGAAGGGTATTTCAGGCAGAGGGAGCAGCCTGTGCAGAAGCCTGTGGATAGACCGTATAGTGACTGCAAGGACCACAAGCAGGCAGTGTGGCTGGAAACAAAAGTTCAGGGAGGCCAGGCTAGAGAGCAGGGGAAGCCAGCCCATGCACACAGCTGGAGGGCGCTGGGTGTGGAGCTGGGGCCCTCAGAGAAGACCAGAAGGCCAGGCAAGGCATCATTTACAGGCTGGGAAGAGCAGGCGGCCCTGTTGCAGTACCAGGTCTGGCCAGCAGAGGGAAGTTCTGCACAGTAATCAGCAGCAAATGGGAGGGAAGAAGGAGGTAGTTGGCAGTGAAGTTTGCTTGGTGGTTGTGGTGTACCTCAAAGGGCCACTAGCTCCAGGGTGTGTGCAGACTCAAGAAGCCTGGACAGTGACAACCTGGGAGATATACTTGGGGAGCCAGCAGAAGGAAGGGAGGCAAGGAAAGGAGAGCCTTCCCCAAAGTGGCACAAACCCACTGCTTAGCATTATGTGTGTGTGGTTGCTGCAGCCATAGAACAATTCCAGCATTGCTGCATGGTGAGCCAAGGGAGAGACGGCTCCTTTAAGGCAACTTGGAGACTCCATTTGGGTCTTAATCAGAGCAGAGATAATGAAAGTAAGGCTGGCCCTCATTCCTTCCTCCCAACCTGACAGCTCCTTGTTGTGTGACTTTGGACAAGTGTCTCCTCAATTTGAGGATGTAGATATGCAAATCACCAGGCACTCACCTGGCCCATGGCAGAGTCTCAATAAATGCTGGTTCTCTGCTTTCTCCCCCTTTAAGGTAGGAAGTACAAGGATCATAATTACCACTTTGTTGGTAAGGAGACTGGAACCCATGAAGGGGGAGTGATTTGTCCAATATCACACATCAGGCGAGTCTCAGAAGTGGGGCCAGAAAGTGGTTCTCATGGGCCCAACTGCCCCCTCTTTCCTGCCACCAGAGAGGGTGCTAACCCCTAGCAACTGGGTCCCCTCCTGTCCACAGACACTTTACCATCAGACCTTGGATGCTCTACAGACATTGCTTAATGCCCTCTTTATTGAAGACCCCACTCCTGCTGGACTGAAGAGCATCTTGGAGGTGCAGGGAGTGAGGCTGGGGAGGGAGCAGGGAAGGGCAGAGGGAAGTAGGGAATCAGGTCTGAGCAGAGGGAGGCTGGAACAGGAGTGATCTGACCTCAGGATGTCATTTTGGGCCAGCGTTCTGCCTTCCGGTGCTACTCACAGGCCCTGTCCCAGACTCCTGCCACCGCTAACTCTCTCCCCACCCCCCACTCTATGTAGAGCCACCCCACACAGCTCCTGCGATTGCTCCCATAGCTTCCCTCTCTCTGTCTGTCCCTGTCTCTTTCTGCTCTCATGACTCTCCTCCTTTCATCTCTCTCCTCATTGACCTCCTTCCCTCGAGTCAGTGAGTCCTGTTCTCAGCTCCTGGACCCCATCTCTCCCTAAGCCCCACAAGAGGAGGAGGGCTTGGTGAGCTGCCTCTGTGCCCTCTCTGAAGCTCCTGCAGATGGTGCAGGCTGGCCTGTCTGCCCAGGAGCAGGGGTTAGCTGAGTCTTGCCCTGGTCCCCACAGCCCCTAGGGCCCTGGATGAACTCTGGGAAGGCCCACGAGCGAGCGCGAGCTGTGAACAGCAACGTCTCCGTGTTGAACCACACACTCCTGACTCTGCCTTTCTTCGTGAGTGTGGCCGGGAGGGGTGGACGCTCCTAGGGAGACTCTTCCCAGCTCTGAGGGCTCTGCTGTCAGGGCTCTGTTCACCAGTTTCTGTGTAGTATTACTGAACCTGTGAGACTCCGCCCCTGTGATTACGACACCAACAGATGTCCTCGGGGGTTCCCCGCACTGGGGCTCCTACTGGGGAGGCTCATCCTTCGCATTGGGGATCCTGACGAGGAGATTGGCCGGGAGGCGCTGGACGGCATCACCATCCTCTACACTATCCTGCAGCTCCAGAAACGTAAGCCCTGTGGGAGCCCCCAGTGCAGGTCTCCTGGGAGGCCACTCAGCTGGTCTTTGGCTGGAGACAGGCAGTGAGGCCCTGGTGGGAGATGGGAAGACCAGCCCGGGGTCAGATGGCCACTGGAAGCTGGTGTGAAGCCCTAGTTCCCACAGAACCAGGGGACAAAAGCTACCTACAAACAGACCTATTTTGATGTAAATAATCCTTTCTAAGCTTTTCCTCATCCTTCTGTGCTTAATTTGTGACAGTCATTTTCATGTCCCTATAGTACCGTATACACTCAGTCAAGATGGTCCCAACATCTTGTTTTCTTGTCTGTCTTCCCCACTCAAATGTAATCCCATGAGACTAGGGCAGGATTGTATCTTAGTTATCACTGTGTGCCCAAGGCCACATGGTGGGTGCTCTAACAAAGAGTAGGTCCTGTCTTAGGATCTGGAGTGGTGGAAGAATCTAGGGGCGACTCAATTTCAGGGAGCTAGTGATGTGGCATGCATTGTACAAGCCCCAACTCCTCTTTCTTTCTCTAAAGTCCCATTCCGCCCCAGTCCAGGTGACCCTGGCTTGCTCCTCTGGCTTAAGCTCCTCTGGCTCTGAAAGAGTGTCATCGCCTACAAGGACCTCTGGCCCTTCCTAGCTGTTTTGCTTGTCTAGGCTTAGATTTCCTTATCTGTATAAAGATTACAGTAGAATAAAATATACAAGCTTTTGAGGCCTTTCCTAAGAGCTGGGCATCATGGTGCATATTTGTAATCCCAGGGAGGCTGAGACAGGAAGATATCAAGCTTGGGGCCAGGCTGAGCAACTTAGTGAGACCTTGTCTCAAAATAAAAAAGACTAGGAGTATAGCTCAGTGGTAAAGCACCCCCTGAGTTCAAACCTCTGTATTGGGGAGGAAAAAAAGAGTATATGTGAAAACCAGCCCAGTGTCACACACCACATGAGTCCTTTATGAAGTTCAAAGCCAGGAACTCCAGGTAGGGGTTCAGGAATGGCTGCCCTGTGGGGAGCAAGGGGTAACCCTGAGAGGGGTATACAAGAGGGCCTCTGGGATGCTGATTGTGTTCTGCTTCTTGACCTGGGTGCCAGCTACCCTACCTGGGTGTGCTCACTATGTGAAAATAATTAAGCTGCTTATGCAGGATTTGGGTCCTTCCTTCAGTGGCTTTTTTTTTTTTTTAAGAAGTAGTTGGACACAGTACCTTTATTTTGTTTATTTAATTTTATGTGGTGCTGAGGATCGAATCCAGGGCCTTGCACATGCTAGGCGAGAGCTCTACCACTGAACCACAATCCCAACCCCCTTTGGTGGCTTTTAATAAAAAGTTAAGAGCAAAGTCTGGTCAGGCCTCACCTGGAAGGTTCTTCTCTTGCAGGAGCCAGAGATAAGAAAGAGACCAACAAGAAGGAGCTGTACGAGAGCAACAAGCGCTTCCTGGGGCCCTACAACCCTGTCAGCCCATGCCAGAACATCCTGCGTGTGATCGCGGTGACTGCTGCCCGTCACCCCGGGCCTCCCATGGGAGGGAGGGGAGGAGGACAGTGCCACACCCCAAGTGCCAGCTCAGCTTCCCCATAGCTCCAGCCATAGGAGCCCACCTGAGTGCCCCTCCCCCAGCCCATGCCACAACTTCCCTCTCCCTGACACCCAGCCTGAGTGCAGGGCCCATGCACCCCGACTTTTGTAGCTCTTCCCCAGAGGGTTCAGCCCTTGCTGATGTAGGCGGCATGCCCTCTGTAGCGGGTCAGGTAGTCTTTGAGCCTCTGTATGGCTCTGGCTCTACGCTTCAAGGTCTGGAGCTCTCTCTGCACCTTTGTTTCAGGAATTTGGAGACTTCCTGGGGCCCCAGCAGGTAAAGGACCTGTTGCTGGCAGCCCTGGAAGGGCTGAAAGGCGGCTCAGAGGCTCGGGGGAAGGACTCCGGGGAGATGATGCAGCTGGCCTCTGAGGTCACGCTCAGCTCAGTGCTGGAGTGGTACCGCCACAGGGCGCTGGAGGTGGTAAGGCCTCCTGGGGGCAGAGGCGGGTGACCACTGGGGCCTGGGGACTCCCCTCATCCCTTGGCACAGCCTGTCTGACTGTGAGCAGGGTGGGAGGTGGTGGAACCCCCAAGCACTGGGGCAGGGCAGGGGTGGCTTACCACTGTCAGAGAAGCCGGCTCACCTGGTGGGGTGGGGTGCGGAGGTGGGACGCAGCCCCCTCTTCTCTCCCGTGCTGCTCTCCTCTTTCCTTCCTGTCCCCTCCCACCCCTGCCTCTGTTGCTGTCTCCTGTCTCCATCTTCTTTCCTCCTCCCCTCCCGCTCCCCTCCGTGCCTTCTCGGTTTTTCTGATGGACCTTCGTCCTGCCTGCTCATGGCTGTACTCCAGATCCCAGAAATCATGCAGGGCATTTATATGCAGCTGAGCCACATCCAGGAACCTCGGGCCCGTGAGGTGGCCCTGCTGCCCGTCTCCCTCCTGGCCAGCTCCTTCATGACGGAGGTTGTGGTGGCCCTGCTCATGTGTCCCCTCCCGCTGGACAGGTACCAATTGGGAGCGGGTTCTCAGCCACTACACCTCAGAGGGACAAAGTAGCTCCCCCCCAGGCTGGAAGCCCCTTCTACCTAGAGAAACCCCTCGCCCTCCCAGATGGCCCCTGCCCATGACCTGAGGTACTTAGACAACCATTAATCATTTCCTGAGCACTGCTGGGTGTCGTGCTGAGTGCCAGTACATTCTCTTGTTCTCAAAAAAGCTCCATTCTACGGATGAGGAAATTGAGACTCGGGAAGTTTCTTACTCTAGGAGCCCACTGAGCCATCAATAGAAGGAGGACCTAAACTTGGGTCTGACTGACTCTAAGCCCAGAGCTCTTAATGGTGTCATAAGAAGGAGGCCTGCGTGTCCTGATTCTACCTCCAGCAGCTGGTGGTCTTGGGCAGGCTGCTTGCCTTCTTTGGGCTTCAGTTTCCCCCCCAGAAGCAAAAGGAGGAATTGATCCCTATATTTACATCCCAGGTGGGTGGTGTGATGAAGTAATGCGACCAGCTGGGCTGAGCACCTGCTGGGCCTGTAGCTGTGCAGGGAGATGCCCCATGTTCACTGCCTCCAGGGAGCTCTTGTTTTGATGGGCAGAGGGGACGGTGGCCAGATGGTGACTAGTCTGGCTGACCTTGACCTCTCAGCCCAGGAAATGCTCCCACCATGTCTTTGAATAAATAAAACAAGGCAGTGGCTGATCAAAACCCTAGGATGATTTTTTTCTGAGTAAATGTGAAAGAATTATGCAGAGCTGTGCAAACAGCATTTTAGGGTATGCTCTAATAAGGACAGTTGGGGTCATTTGCAGAAGCCAAGGAGATCAGCAGGGGAAGTGAGGACCCAGCCACACATCCTCCCATTAGAATGATCCAGCTCGGGGCTGGGGATGTGGCTCAAGTGGTAGCGCGCTCACCTAGCATGCGTGAGGCACTGGGTTTGATTCTCAGCACCACATAAAAATAAAATAAAGATGTTGTGTCCACCTAAAACTTAAAAATAAATATTAAAAAAAAGAATAGAATGATCCAGCATCTTTCAGATGCACTGATATCAGGGGCCTTCTTCTTGGGACCCCTAAATAGACTGTTTCATATGACTTCCAGGGATCACATGTGATAGCAGAGTCAGACAGGATAGAGGACAAGGCAGAGGCAGGCCAAGCATCTAGGCACGATGTTGAAGGAGGCCCCTCTGCAGGTGCCAAGCCTGCACTTGCATGAGTTCTAGAGTGGGGACCTCCTTGAGTTTTGTGTCCTGGATGCTTGGGTCTGGAAAATGGTCTCTTGGGCCTCCCAGGTAAAGCTCAGGTTTGAGGAAAGGAGTCCCATGGGGAACACCCTGGCTGAAATGGAACCACAGGGACCAGTCTTTTACGCCAACTCTAGAGGCTTCACTTTTGAGGACTCCACAGGGACAATCCCATTAAAGAGTCACTGTTCCCGGCAGCGTCCCCATCATCCCCATCAGTTCTTTTTTTTTTTTCTTTTTTTTTTTATTGGTTGTTCAAAACATTACAAAGCTCTTGACATATCATCTTTCATACTTACTGCTAATTGATAGTTTCAGTCCAGATGCAATTTACCAAGTGGCCATAAAGACCATTTTTACCATAAGTAATGTTGCCTAGCAACATAGTTGACATACTATCTTTATCAGGTTTCCAGGGGAACAAAGCTAGAGAGTGAAGGGAAGGTTCAGATGCTCATGTAGAGGGGGAAAGGGTTTTTGTTAACCCTTTAGCACTCTGTCAACTCCCCATGGCAGGACTTCTGTGGGCTGGTTTCTGCTGCATTCAGGGGTTTCCCCTGCCTGGGGAACTGCCTGCCCAGGGGCAGGAGACATGCTCCCTGGTATTAGGTGATACCTTTGCCTTGGTTCCTGCTCACTGGTGTGAAGGGAGGAGCACCGGCTTTGGAGACATCAGATCTGGTCACTCCTTGCTTCTGTAGCTAGTTAGCTGTATCTTCTTGGATTAGCAATTGTGCCTCTCTGAGCTTCTCTTCTGCTTCTATCAAATGGGAATAACAATGCCTGCTTTGAGGGTCATTGTGAAAATTCAGTTACCCTGCGTGGACTGGATTCTTTTTTGCTTCTGTAGCCCTAGAGATTTACCTAGTCCAGTACATGCTCAATAAATATTTGCTGAAATAGTAAATTGAATATAAAGCACCTGGCGTGGTCACTGGGCACAGGGTTCTCAATCACCATGAGCCTCCTTTCCCTTGGAGAGTGTTTTCTGGACCTTCCTTGCTGGCATTCCCTAACCATCCCCCTCCCCCACCTCAGTAATGGAGCAGAGATGTGGAGGCAATTGATACTGCGCAAGCCCAGCTGTGATGTCCGAGATCTTCTGGATCTGCTCCTGACCAGCTTGAAGGAAAAGCCAGTCACCAAGAAGGGCCGGGCCTCCATTGTGCCCCTGGCGGTGAGGACGCAGCCCACCAGCCCCACCATTCTCTTCTCCCTCCCTCCCTTCTTCCCTCCCGCTGTGTTCAGCTTAAAGGGCTCCGCCCCCCCCCCACCCCCACCCCCCACCAGTGATAATTGGCCTTCCCTGGGCAAGTCCCTGACTCTGGGCTCTTGGTTGTGATCCACTGGATGACACAGTGGTGCCACCTGTGGGGATAGCAGCTTGCAGCAGTGGGAACAGCATAAACTGGAGGTGGGCTGGGTCCTCACCAGCCAGGGTGCGATGGAGGCCTCGCCCTTCTAGGTGATGGGGTTCTCTCTGCCTCTATCACCTTTAACCTTTACCTAGTTCACCACCTGCTCACCTTCCTGCTTCCACTCCTGCCCTGTGATCCCTACCAAAGCATCTTCCAGAATGCACACCTGCTCTTCTCAGCCCCTGCCTTGGCTTCCCATGGCCTCGGAGAACGCCATGGTGCTCCTACCTGGTACCCCTTGCCCATCTTGCCTCCCTTCCCAGGCCTCTTGCTTGCTCTAGTGCAGCCTCACTGGTGTTTGTCAGAACTCCAAACATCCAGCAGTCTTCTGCAACAGGGCCTTTGCACACTCTGTGTCCACTCCTTGGAATGCCCTCCACCAAGCTAACCTCTGCTTATCCCTCAGCTCTCAATGCAAGCATCACCTCCTTGGGGAAGCCTCCCTGTTCTCCCTGACTTGCTCTGATCTGGGCATAGTATACTTTGCTTCACATACTTTATCTTGGAAGAATTTATCCCAGTTGTGATTTGGTAATAGTGGGGGGGGGGCAGCTATTTGGTTAATTTGTGATATGCACAAGCCAGTACCTGTCCTATTTGGCTCACAATGATATCCCCAATGTCAAACACACCAGGCACCTAATAGGTACCCAACTATTGTTGGGGGGGCTGATTTGTTTATTTAATAGGTATTTGTTAGCATCTACTTAGTGCCAGGCACACTGATAAGTTCTGGGGATTCAGCAGCAAGACCTTCCCAGAGACAGCCTGTGCCTTGCCCAAGGTTACACAGCTAGCCAGTGGTGGCACCAGGACCCAAGCCCAGATCTCTGCCCAGTTCTGGGCACCTGTGTTGTGACTGAGGAAGAGGCAGGGAAGGCTATAGCTGGTATCTGAAAACCTGGGTTCAAGTTCTAGCTCTGCCCCTAAGGGGCTGGGTGACTTTGGGCAGCTGCTTCATTCCTCTGAGCCAGTTCTCTTCAACTGCAAAATGGAATCAAGACTGTTTTAATTCTCAGGAGGTAGGAAGGGATCCCTTACCATGAATCTTCCCAGGTCACATGACATCAAACCCTGGACCAAACCTAAAGTCAGGCTGTTCTTACTCTGGGGTGGGACCTGGCTAGAGGTCTGGGGTGGGACCCAGGCTCTCCCTGGCTGGGCCAGGGAAGAGCAAAGACCCAGGTCTAGCCTCCCAGAGCAGAAGTCCAGGCCTTAGGCAGGAGTGCAGGGAAGATGCCTTCTCATGCCACCAGCTCCCACTCCTCCCCCAGGCAGCCAGCGGCCTGTGTGAGCTGCTGTCCGTCAACAGTTGTGTCTGCCGCGTGAGGCGCATCTACCCGCAGCTGCTGCTGGCCCTGCTCATTCAGGTGCATTACCACATCGGCCTCAACCTGCCCGGCCGCGTGGCTCCTCGCAAGGATGCCAAGACCAACACACAGCCGCCTGCCTTCGTACCTGTGCAGTATGTTCTGCCATCTCTCTTGATCCCGCTGTCCCTGGGGGGACAGCAAGACCCTCCACAAGGCTTCAGGGCAGTCCATCAATGGAAAGCTCTGGGACTAGACGAGAAAGCAGAAGCACACTTTTTTTTTTAATAATGTTATTGTATTTTTTTATACCTTTATTTTATTTATTTATTTTTACGTGGTGCTGAGGTCTGGGGTGGGAACCATGCTCTCCCTGGGTTCAAGTTCCAGCTCTTGTGCCTCCCACATGCTAGGCAAGTGCTCCACCACTGAGCCACAACCCCAGCCCCAGAAGCACACTTTATTATTAGAGTTAATACTTCATCCAGCAGCTGTTTTTGAGCAACTGCTCTCTGCGCCCAACACTGCTTAGCACAGGAGCACAGGAAGCTGTCCTCCTCCCCCAGAAGCTCACCATTGAATTTTCTAGACATTATTTGTATTAGGTGCATGTGTAAGGCTCAACCAGTTTAATTTTTAATTATTTATTGGAATAAGTAGTATATGCACATGGATTAAAAAAAAAAAAAAGACCTCACACAGGTACCCATTTTTGCTCCTATCTTATGCCATATCTTAGATCTCATCACACACGGAACTGTCTCATTATTATTATTTTTGGCATGAGGGATGGAACCCAGGGTGCTTAGTCACTGAGCCCCAGCCCCAGTCCTTTTTGTTTTTTGTCACAGGGTCTTGCTAAGTTGCTTAGGGCCTAAGTTGCTGAGGCTGCCCTCAAATTTGTGATTTTCCTGCCTCAATTTCCCAAGTTGCTGGGATTACAGGTATATGCCACTGTGCCTGGCCTGTTGAGGATTTTTCTTATTAATTTGTAAGAGCTCCTTATATATTAAAGAAATTAACTTTTTGTCCTTTGTATTCTAGTTTTTAACTTGATCTGAAATTATTTTATTGTTTTCTGCCATTCAGAAATTTATATATTTTGTACCAGGGATTAAACCCAGGGGCGCTTAACCACTGAGCTACATCCCGAGCCCTTTTTATGTTTTATTTTGAGACAAGATCTCACCAAGTTGCTTAGGGTCTCATTAAGTTGCTGAGGCTGACTTTAAACTCTCAATCCTCCTGCCTCAGCCTCCCAAACTGCTGGGATTACAGGTGTGTGCCGTGGTGCCTGGTTTAACTCTACATGGTGACATGGTGTCATTTGGGGCTGTTACAAGCAAATCTTTGGGACTGGGGTGAAGAGGAAGGGAGATGGGTAGGGTCATTTTTGTCAAAATGTAGGGCCAGATTGAGTAAATAAGAAACAGTGCAGAGGACACACTAGGAATTAATTCTATGTCCAGAAGCTTTGGCCTAAACACATACTCGTCCTGCTGTGTGAGGGAGGGCCAAGAGGGCAGGCCCAGCTGCAGCTGTCTGGACGCACTGAGCTCAGAGCTGTTCCCCTGGACCGTTGCTGGGGAGGTGACCAAAACTACTCTGCAGATGGAGCCACCCAGGAGGGAAGGCCGCTGCAGTGGCGGGGAAGCACTAATCTCCCTTAGCAGAAGGCGCTAATGCTCTAACTTGAAGAGAAAAACCATTTTTCTCCTCTGAATGCAAACCTAAACAACTCAGCTCAGCCACTCCACCAGCACAAGGGGTTCCTGGGGGAGGAAGAAGGGCAGAGACACCTCCCCCACACCCTCCCACTCCCTCCATGGCTGCTAGGGGATGCTCCTGACAGCCCAGGTCCCAAAGAGCCAGCACAAAGGCTCCATGTTTCTGATTCCAAGGGCCCTGGCCTCAGTTGGAGCTCTTTTTTCACAGTGGATTGCTCTACATTTAAAAAATAGTAGAAACACGTTGGGTGCAGGGGTGCATGCCTGTAATCCCAGCAACTCAGGAGGCTGAGACAGGAGGATCATGAGTTCAAAGCCAGCCTCAGCAACTTAGCAAAGCCCTGTCTCTAATAAAATATTAAAAAGGGCTGGAGATGTGGCTTGGCAGTTAAGGACCCCTGGGTTCAATCCCTGGTACCAAGAAAGAAAGAAAGAAAGAAAGAAACATAACAGATGAGGTGGTGCACACCTATAATCCTAGGTACTTGGGAGGCATGAGACAGGAGGATCACAAATTTGAGGCCAGCTTGGGGCAATTTAGTGAGACCCCGTTTCATAAAATAAAAAAGAGGGCTGGGGTGCAGCACATGGCAGAGCATCCCTGTCCCAACCCTGTACTGAAAAGTAAACACACAGAAATGAAAGCAAATTCCTGAGGATGAGGCTCTCCTGATTTCTGACAGGATTTGTTCTGAATCACAAGAACTAGCAGTTCTGTCTCCTGAGCTCCTCAGATCAGTGCATGGTGAACCCTTCAAGCACATGTGTATGTTTTGGAAAACTTTGTGTAAACTTAAACTTTATCCATTCATGTCAGTTTTTATCTTAGTAAAAGTTTGTGTATGCAGTCCTGTGCCTCATAACAAGGTTTTGCTCAATGGTGGGTATACCTAGGAGGTCCCTTAGGATCATGGTGGAGGCCAGGTGTGGAGTAGGCTAGACCATTGAGGTTTGCATAAGCACCACTGTGATGTTTGCACAAGGACAAGGTCAGCCCACAAAGCATTTCTCAGAATATATCCTGTAGTTAAGCTATGACTGACTGTATGAGAACAACTACAGAACCATGCAATGCCAGGCATACGGTAGGAGCTCAATAGATGTCCCCCACAACCAAAGCTCCTTGAGCTTACTCAGGAGCCTAAGAATGCAGAGGCCTGGTCAGTGCCCCGGGGTGTAAAAGGTTCCCAGGGGACTCTGCTGGGCACCCTGATGGTTCTTTCTTTTTATTTTCTTAGTACCAGGGATTGAGTCCAGAGCGCTTAACCTCTAAGCCACATCCATAACCCTTTTTATTTTTTGAGATAGGGTTTCGCTAAGTTGCTTAGAGCCACTCTAAGTTGCTGAGGCTGGTTTTGAACTTGTGACTGTCCTGCCTCAGCCTCCCAAGCAACTGGGATTACAGGCATGGGCCACCCTGCCCAGCGGGGAATCATTTCTTAAATGTCCCAAGGGAGAAAAGGACTCTGTCCTGGACAGGAGACTGAGTGTCCAAGTGATCAGAGAGGACTGACCTGCCAGGGGTCCACCCAGCCATGGGCTTGATGAGGAGTGGAGGAGAGAGAACCAGGTGGCTGGGGAGAGCCTGCTCAACCTCTTCCTGTGGTGCATGAGGCTCGGTGGGAAGAGGGAGGGTGAACACCCCATCTTCCCAGGGAAGGAGATTTGCTTCTGTTTGCTCTCTTGTTCTCCAAGCTAAGTATTTTACGAGCCTCCCTTTGCAGACACACTGCTTACCTGTAACGACATGGGGGAGAAGCTTGTGGGGCAGGCGGCAGCTGATGGTGAGAAAGTGGAGGGCTGAGGGAGGCCTGGCCTGCCAGGGCAAGGGGACTGAGCGCTCGGCCCCCTTGTCTTGGCAGCTGGGTGGTGAAAGTGGTGAAAACCCTGCTGCTGAAGATGGGCTGCTCTTACGAGGCCACCTCCCTGGAGGACCAGGGTGGCTGGGAGCTCATGGGGCAGGCGGAGAACCACCATCGCGGAGGGTCTCTGCTGGCAAGGTGAGCCCGGGGGCCACCTCAGGCAGGGGTGGGTGGAACCTCCAGATCTTCAGACAGACTTGGGTTCCCATCTCTCTGAGCAAGACTCATAGCTCCCTTTGTCAACTCGTCTCTGCAAGGGGCTATTGTCCTCCTTGGCAGGTGGACGACACCAACAGGAAAGGTGGCACTTACTCAGGGAAGTAACCGTGGACATAGTGGCCCCCGGCAGTTCTAGAGCCCGTAGGTTATTTACCAAGAACCTTTTCATAGGAATTTGGTTCCCACACCGATGTGGTGGAAATGATGGTGTCAGAGCATCCGGGAGGGGCTATGGAGACAGTCTGCCTGCATCTGACGCTGAGCCCCTTCCCTGCTGTGTGACCAGGGGCCAATGACTGCCCCTCTGTGTCTCCATCCCCCCTTAGTAGTATGGAAATAGTAAGACCCACTTCTGAGAGTGGAGTGAGGATTAAATAAGGTATTTTTTTTTTTTTAGTTATAGTTGGACACAATACCTTTATTTAATTAATTAATTTATTTATATGTGGTGCTGAACCCAGCACCGCCCCCATGCAAGGTGAGTGCTTTACCGCTGAGCCACAACCCCAGCTCTAAATAAGGTATTTTGAAGAGCTCCTGGCATGTGGTAAGCCCAGCACAGATTAGCTTTTGCTTCCATTCTGGTGCCTGGGACAGGCATTAATATACATTTTGCATAGGAACATGCCTAGCTCCAGAGGGCAGTCATGTGCCCAAGATCACACAGCCATATGTGACTCACTGGTCCTGACCAGAGCTCTCCTCTCAAATACACACAACTTCCTGTGGGTCAGGGGGAGTACCTTGATTTCTGTGATGTGTCTCCTGTAGGAGAACCTACCCAGGAGTGCTCAGGAGGGCACTCTCCCCAGGGTCTTGAGGCACAACTACATTTACTGAGCACCAACTATGTTTAAAAGACCTTGTGGAGAGTTGTTACATGGATGATCTCATTTAGTTCTCTCACCATGACCATTGGAATTACATTATTACTATCCCAGGGTTACATGTGAGTATGCTGAAACCCAGAGAAGTTAAGTGTCTGCTTCAAATCACACAGCTAGTGCTAGGGCCAGAATTTGAACCCAGGCCATCCCACTCCTGTCCCTGTTTTCTGCCTGCCACATTTTCTTGATTTGCTGATTTTTGGAGCATCGTGCATGGGCCTCATACTTGAGCATGCCTTGGGACCATCTCCAGAGCCTGCTGCCCACTGCCCTGAGTTCCTGCTTTGGGAGATCTGGACTAGGACCTGAGAATATGCATTTCTAACAGATTCTCAGGTGTTGCTGATGCTGGGTGGTGGGTGGAGGGGGCACTTTGAGCACCACTAGCTTAGAGTGAGCGAGGCAGCAGGAATGGGGGAGCCCTGGGTTGGGGCTTCAGCTCTGCTGCCTTCCAGCGCTGTGCCCTTGAGCAGCCGAAGCTGTGAAATGGGGATAATAACAGCAACTGCCTTGAAGGTGATGGTGAGGATCAAATCAAGTAGCAAGGTCAAATGGTTTGGCTGCCACCTGGCGCTTAGTGAAAGGACCCTTACTTCCCCTCCTTCCTGTCGCTCCCTCCAGGTGTGGCCCTGTGCAGCTGGGGTCTTTAGCTTGTCTCTTACTGACTGGCTCTGTGCCCTAGGCACACTGCCTTCACTCCAGGCCTCAGTTTCCCCCCCCTGTAAAATGGAGGAGTTAAACTAGTTGCCTCAGAGATCCCACTGGGGAGAGGGCCTGGGAACACAGGAACCCAGATGACCCTGGCTTGGGGGATTTCCAGTGCCATGGTCGAACTCCGGCATGTCCCCTGAGGCAGGAGAGCCTGAAGGGACTGTCCCCCCACCAGGGCCATGGTGCACTACTCCTGCCAGGAGCTGTGCCGCATCCTCTACCTGCTCATCCCGCTCCTGGAGCGAGGCGACGAGAAGCACAAGATCACCGCCACAGCCTTTTTCGTGGAGGTACCAACTGGGACCGGGGCATGGGGTGGGGTTGTCCCGGGCCTCAGTTGACAACAGTAGTTATTTCTCCTGTGCAAACAGTGCTTTACAGAATCCAGAGCCTTTCTAGGGGTATGCTTTCTCAGAATATGAAGACCCTACCGGTCTCCCTCCCTTGCCCACTCCTCTCCCCACACTGCCCCACTGCCCCACTGCCCCAGGCAACCACAACCCTGGCTGCCAGGCATCGAGATGCTGATATGAACTTGATCCCCCCTGGCCTCCCACAGCAACTGCCTTGAAGGGTGATGGTGAGGATCATCATCACACGCATCTTGGTGCATCTGGGAGACAAAGGACACTCAGATATTAACCTGGGGGGCCATAGTGTGACTTGTTTGAAGACGGGGAAGTCCAGGCTGTGGTGGGAGAAGAGGAGACTCGAGGGAGGAGGTGTCAGGAAGGGTTTCCTGGAGAAAGGAACATCTAAGCTGAGCAAGTGTCAGTGGGAGGTGCTGGAGGGGGGTGCTGGGAAGTCAGGGAAAGCCTGAAGGGACAGATCCAGAAGGGGAGAGTCCTTAGCAGCGGTTGCTAGTATCTGTTGAGCACTTACCATCTTCCAGGCATGTGCTAGGAGCTTACATTTACTGCCATGATCCAGTTCATCCTCACAGTAATCCTATGATCACTTTGAAGGAGGAAACTGAGGCACAGATTTCAGTACCTTTCCCAGGGTCCAAGTGGCAGATTCAGAATTCCAAGCCAGACATTTGGGTTCCAGAATCCCCCACTTCTTTTTCCTTTTCTCCCTCTTTCTTAGTTTATTCTTATTGGGATAAAATATATGTATATATATATAAAACATAGTATCTGCTATTCAGCCCTTTTAAGTGCACAGTCATCATCCTGCCTTCATCACCACCGTCCACCTCCAGAACACTTACACTTTTTTTCTTCTCCAACTGAAACTGTATCCATTAAACATTAGCTCCCTCTCCTATTCTCCCCCAGCCCTGGGAACCTCCATTCTTCTCTCTCTCTCTCTCTCTCTCTCTCTCTCTCTCTCTCTCTGTGTCTCTCTCTCTCTCACTCGTATCAGGGATTGAACCCAAGTGTGCTGAACCACTGAGCCACATCCCCAGCCCTTCTTATGTTTTATTTTGAGCTAGGGTCTCACTAGGTTGCTTACAGTCTTGCTAAGTTGTTGAGGCTAGCATCAAACCTGCAATCCTCCTGCCTCAGCCTCCTGAGCCACTGGGATTCCAGGCGTGTGCCACTGTGCCTGGCTCCATTCTACTCTCTCTCCCTATGGGTTTGCCTACTCTAGGTGCTGCATGCAAGGGGGGACTTTGTCCTTCTCTATCTGCCATTTCCCTCCTTGCAGCGGTCTTCACAATTTATCCAGGTGTGGCATGTGAAAGGACTCCTCCCTTTGGATTGCTATCATATGAACACACCACAGGTCGTTTTCCCCTTCATCTGTTGACTGACAATGTAAAGTCCACTCTTCTGGCCACCACACTTTTCTGCCTTTTATGACCTGACAGTTGTCATGCAGGGGAGTCCTGGCTATTACAAGGGTTTATTGCTCAAAGGCAAGAGGCTCAATGTCTGCTTGGATAGTAAGAAGGATAAGGAAGGCTTCCTGGAGGTGGTGACATTTGGGCCTTGACAGGTGAGTAACGTTTGTCAGGTGGACAGGAGGCAGCAGGGGAACTTCTTGCATCTTTCCCCTCTCTGGGTGCACTGTGAGTCTGGAGAAGGGGCCATGTTGTGTTTGCATTCCATCCCCAGGCCCGTCCTAGGAGGGCTCCAGAAAGTGGGGTTTGGATGGGCAAGGGAGTGCCCAAAGGAACACTGCCAGGCCCTGTGGGCATCAGCAGAATGTGTCACCTCCAGGGAGGACAAACCTTGGAGTCAGGAGCCCTGGGCTCCAGCTCCTGCTCAGTTCTACTTCTGATTTCCCTGACTTGGTGATGGAAAGGGAAGGGACCATGTCTTGCAGGCCTACTGTGTGCAGCCTGTTCACGTGTCACCCTGTTGTAGGGACAAACAAGGCAGGGCACCAAAGATAGCAGGAAACAGTTTTATTTGGTTGCAACCAGGTTCTGAGGGTACAGCTTTTGCTGTAATCAATTAATCCCCTGAACCCCCAGTTCAGGTAGTTTCAGAGTTTTATACCCAGCATGTAAGGGGAGGGGCTCAGAAGTTCACAGTCTGCAGAAGTTCACATGAAAGCAGCTTTTTCTTTCACTGTTCTGGGCAAGTAAACTCTTCAAGGACAATACCTGAGAAGCGGGGAGAGCTTCTTCTCCCCTTTCTTTCCTCCCCCTGCCAGCTGTTACCATGGAGCCCATTTGTAACTTACCTTTAAAATGTAGACATCTCTGTGAAGCCCAGCTCAAGGCCAGAGGCCTTGTTTGCACATTTCTTCAAAGTATTATACTGGATATGTTTGTGAAAAACTAGTAAGGGGTGTCCAGCACCTGGAGTGCTGGTATCTTCTCGGCCAGTGGCCAAGTAAACAGGGCGACATGAAAATTGGAAGTTTATCTACATTGGACTCTTTTGCAGAGACTCTTTTGCTGATAGTCCTAAAATCAGCCATGGTGGAGAGGGCTTTTCTGTGGAGAAAGGGGGTGCCACTTCAACCCCATCAGTCTGCACACAACCTTGCAAATAATTGTGGTGCTTATGGTTGAGGGAGGCCAGGGGTAGTTTTCAAGGCCACACATCTCAGGGAGTGCAGAGATTCTGCCCTGGTTGGTCTCTTGGGAGGGGCTTCTCTCTAAGTCTGCTAGTGGCTGACACACAGATTCTTGGGGGAGGGTGTGAAGGTTGGAACTTGGTAGACCTCAGGGGTGTCTCGAGGTCCACTACAAGGTCAGGGACTCCAGATTTTCTGATCCCAGCAATCCTTAGGAGCCCTGAGCACTGGCCCTGCCTCTGGGGCAAGGGTCGTCTTGTGGGCTCAGGCTTTTCCACCTCCCCAGCAAAGGTGCCTGTGCCTATGCCTGCACCCCATAGCCCTCTACCTGTGATTGTCCTTGTGTGTGCTTGCTGCTCCAAGGGCAGGTAAACTCAGGGAGGGAACTCTGTGACTTGGGTGTGTCACTTAGACTGCCTGTGCCTCAGTTTCCTCACCTGCAATTTGAAGACTGAATTGCCGGCCTCACTGAATTTCAATGAGGATGACATGTGCTTACATGTGTCCTTAGAACAGAGCCTGGCACCTAGAAAGTGCTTTCTGTGTGTCAGCACAGCCAACATCACTGTGCCTCTCCTGTCTGACCTGGTGCCAAGCCGTGTGGAAGGACGGGTGGGTGGTGGGTGCAGCCACTCTTCCCTGTCCCCTCCCTCTGGTCAACCGCCCACCCTCTCCTGCAGCTCTCCCTGTGCCCTGTGATCCCTTCTCACAGACACAGATCTTAATAGTGGTGGTAGGTATTAGGCATGGGCACAATGGGACACATGTTCATGAGGATAACGGCAGAAACTGAAGGGAGGGCATGAGGAAGAGGGAGGAGGGCAGTGGGGACAGGGGAAGGGCAGTCCTCAGGAAGGAAGGGGCCAGAGTTCATGTTGGCCTGAACTCATGCTGCAGGTGTTCCCTAGTCTCACACTTCACCCCAGAGCTCAGGTTAGGTACCCAGCCCAAGGAGGAAGCCTTGATCTTTGCCCCCAAGGAAGCCCCCAGGTGGCCAGGAGGGGCACACAGGGCAGAGGGGGCCTGAAGGTTTCCAGGTGCTGCCTTGGGATGTTCAGGTCCAGCATGGCTCCAACGGTTGGGTTTTGGATGGAGCCATGGAAGGTGGTGGGGGTCAGAGAGGAGGTGGGCGTCCCAGCAGAAGGGCTTCCTGCCAGCACAGAAGGGACAAGACAGCCCAGCCATTCTGGGAACAGTGGGCAGCTTGGGTGGAAGCTGTGGGCTGCCGGGTGGGCATGGTGTGAATGAGGCCACAGGGGCCATCAGGGGCTGGATGGCACAGGCAGGGAGAGGCACAGGGCTCTGAGCTGGGGAGAGACATTTTTTGCCACGAGGTGTCGAGGACATGCAGAGGAGGTCTCCAGCCAGCTGCTGGTTTTCCAAGTCTGCAGCTCTAGGCGGAAGCCGAGCCTGGTTTTCCCCAAGCCTGGGAGACCTGTGGGCCACTCGCACCTCAGCCTGGGAGTAATTGCTGTTGGTTTCCTCAGCTCCTCCAGATGGAGCAGGTGCGCAGGATCCCCGAGGAGTACTCTCTTGGGCGGATGGTGGAAGGCCTGAGCCACCATGACCCTGTCATGAAGGTGTTGTCCATCCGAGGCCTGGTCATCCTGGCCCGTAGGGCTGAGAAGGTGAGTGGAAGGCAGAGGAACACCTAACCTAGCCTGGCTCTGGGCTGGAGGAGTATGGAGCTCAGCCATCCGCATCTCAGCTCATGGCTGGAATCAGAGCCCATTTCTGTCCATCCTCAGTGGTCTCATCTATACAATGGATCTACCTTTGTAACCTTTACGTATTATATTCTTTTTGAATACTTTCTAATCAGGGTTTCCCACAATGACTCTGAAGGCAGGTGCTAGGAGGGAAGGGAATGGCAGTAGTTATTATTATTTTATAGATCATCATTATGGTTGGAGGAGGCCAGGGGTCATTTTAAAGAAAATATTTATTTTTATTTGGTGCTGGGGATTGAACCCAGCACCTCACATGTGCTAGGCGAGCGCTCTACTGCTGAGCTACAACCCCAGGCCCACCCCCCTTACCCCACCACCACCCCACCCCCGTTATTGACATTTTTAAAAGTGCTTTGTTTTTCTGTTGCACTGTTGCAGCTCAGGATGTAGCCAGGACAAAGGGACAGGGCATAGCTGTAGGAAGCTGACTGAAAATGCAAGATGTCACCTACCTAATCCCAAAGATCCTAGAAATCCAGGCCAGGAAGGAGTTAATAAGGCCAAAGAAGGCTTCAGGGAGAGGGAAGAGCTTGAGTGAGGGCATTCCAGGCAGGTGGCAGGGAATACACAAAGGCCGGGGGATTGGAGTTGGGCCACCAAGTGCAACTGGTGAACTAGAGGCCAAGTCTCCTACCTGCTAGCCCAGATAGGAACCGCTCTCCCAAATGGCTCTGTTCCACAGATGGCCAAGGTGCAGGCCCTCCTGCCATCCATGGTAAAGGGCCTGAAGAATGTGGATGGTGTGCTCGTGGTAGAGGCGGTCCACAATCTCAAGACCATCTTCAAGGGGCAGGACCGGAAACTGATGGACAGCTCAGTCTATGTGGAGATGCTACAGGTCCTACTTCCGCATTTCAGTGATGTAAGGACTCCCGCAGGTTGAGGGAGGGATAGGAAGTGGGGTCCTCTACTAACTTGGGGGCTGCAATACCTCCCTTGCTGGCCCTACCCCATTGGGTTCTGAGTAGGGCCCCAGCCCAGAGGAAGGGGCACCTTGTTTCAACTGGTCCTTATCTTCTTGTAATTGGTTCATCCAGAGAAGATCCCTTATTCTAATTGGTTCCCCCTGGAGGGAGCTAATCAAGTCTGACCAGAGAAGGTGATCATATTGCTGTTGGTTCACCTAAAAAAGGGATACTTTTTTTTTTAACCAGTCCTGGTAGAGGGGGGCATTTCCCCACTTGGCACAAAGGCACCTTTTAGTGAGTGAAGGCCCTGGCTGAGAAGAATGAAGAGAACTCCATACCTAGGCTTGGGGGAGGAGTAGTGGCCCCAGACAGCCCCACTGGGTGGCTTGGCTGTTCTTTGTCTCTGTGTCTTTGTGCCTGGAGGGCCCCTCAGAATGAGGGAAAAGAAGGCCCTGGAGCCTCCTCCTGGAGGAGGGGCGTTCTGAGCCTGGGGTCTGCTGCAGTTAAGAGAGGATGTGCGCCTCTCCTGCATCAACATATATGGGAAGGTGGTCCAGAAACTTCGGCCACCCCGCACTCAGGCCATGGAGGAGCAGCTGATTAATACCTTGGTGCCCCTACTGTTGATCATGCAGGAGGGCAACACCAAGGTGGGCCAGGTGAGCGTGTGAGGCACTGGGCCTGTAGCTATGTCTCCCTTTGTGGAAACAAACCCGGACCACAAACAACCCATTGGGGGCGGTTATTTATGTCCAGCCACATCTGTCTTCCCAAAGTGTCTATGTCAGGATTCCCCCTGAAAATGCCTGACTTCACTTGTACCCCTTCAAATAGGAATTGATTTTTCCAAAATCCACTTTTTATACTTTTTATTTTCCTGGAACATGTTCTGAGTGTCTTAGAATTTCATAGTTCTGGTATTCCCTTCCTGTTGATCCCAGAAATGTGTGAAGACCCTGTTCCGCTGTTCTTGTTTCATGACTTGGGAGTTGCCAAAAAAAGCTTATAGCCGGAAGCCCTGGGACAAGCAGCCACAGGCGGTGGCCAAAATCTGCAAGTACCTTGTGAGTTTCCAGACTCTGCCCAGGCTCCTTACGAGTGTGTTGCAGGTGGGGATCCCATCCTTCTCTTATCCTTCTCTGCACACCAGCATCCTGACAATTTCCATGACCACCTACAACTGGTTGGCTCTGGAAAACCCATCTCTGACTTCTCTCCCCACCTCTGGTGGTCCCTCTCCACTGGCTTACTGGACCAGTAACCCCTATGGGGGTCACTGTGAGCTAGCACGTCTCTTTTGAACTTTAAAGACTTCCCTTTCATTCTTGTTCTGACCCTCTAGGTTCTCAAAGCAGAAACCTAGAATCATCCTAGACTCCTTTTTCTCACCTTCCACATCTGATCAATCTTAAAAATCCTAACTCTCTCTCATTGGGGCCATGAGTCTAGCTATCTGGTGGGTCTCCCAGCCTTTAATTTTAATCTACTCCCCTTCCAGACCACCAGGGTGGCATTGTTAAAACACTAGCCTGAGCCAGGTGTGGTGTGCACGCCTGTAATCCCAGCGACCAGGAAGGTTGAGGCAGGAAGATTGTGAGTTCAAAGCCAGCCTCAGCAAAAGCGAGATGCTAAACAATTCAGTGAGACCCTGTCTCTAAATAAAATACAAAATAGGGCTGGGATGTGGCTCAGTGGTCAAGTTCCCCTGAGTTCAATCCTGGCACCCAAAACAAAACAAAACAAAAAAGCACTAGCCTGTCTCTCTATATATTTGCATGTACAATATATATTATATGTTTATATTATATATTTATACATAATATATATGTTTATATAATTTGCATATTATATGTACATATAATAATAATAGATAATATTTTCTGTGTTGCTCAGATGGAACCTGGACCTTGCATGTACTAGGGAAACATGTGAGCTATACCCACAACCCCTAGCCTGTACAATGTATCCCTGCATAAGGGGTTACAGTGGCCTCCTTTTCTGCAATAGCAATTCCCAGGGTGTATTCCCTGTGACACTAGTTTCACCAGATATGCCCCAGGTGAGTGTGGGGAGAAGTTCTAGGATGAATAAATTTAGGCAATGCTTCATGATGTGTGCATCTCAGCACATGAAAGTCTCTGAGATGTTTTGTGCTGAGGAAAAGCATTTGTGGTTGTTGACTTCAAGGTAAATTAATTTAACCACAGAAGCCCCTCTCTAGGTGGTACCTGGGGGCAGCCTGAGTAGGAGCAAACCATGCTTGTGCTGAGAAGGACAGCACTGCAAATGCAGAACATTTGGCAGGCTTTACCATCGAGTCCCAATCTCTCCTCCCTGTTGTCGTGGGCAGATGAGATTAGCTTGGAAGGTTTAGGAGGAGCTCTGTTGAATCAGCCCTGTGGAAGGGAGAAGAGGGGTCGGTGGCAGAGGAAGAAGTGGAGCTGCAGTGGAGCTTCAGCGGAGGTCTCAGCCAACCCTAAGACCCTGAAGTGAGAGTATCAAAATGGGCTCAGGGGTCAGGCATGCATGTGTGTGTATATGTATATGTGTGTGTGTGTGTGTGTGTTTCCCCCAAGACTGGGTTTCACTGTGTTGCCCAGGCTAGCCATAAACTCCTGGGCTCAGGCAATCTTCCTGCCTTAGTCTCCCATGGAGCTGGGATTGCAGGAATGTGCTACCACACCTGGATGGAGTCAGGTCTTCATGCCCTTGTGTCCATCTATCCCTGGATGCCAATCACCTTGGAAAGGGACATGGCCTGGGTCAGGCAGTTTTCACCAGGCAATCCCAATAGCTGGGGGACTAAGCTCTTCCCACGTGAAGGTGTAAGCAGGCATCTTGCACCCTCACAGGAGTTTAACATAAATATAAAAAGTAACAAGGCCCCATGGCTATCAGCCACACTCAAAGCCTCTGTAGTCAAGCCTCTAATATTATTTCCATCACTTTACAGAGGGGAAAGAGGTCTGGAAGAAGTTTGGGCAGTGTTGCTAATTCACATACCTACAGTGGCTAGGCAGACAGTGCTCACGAGTGACATGGATATAGTGCAGCCTGTGAGCTGGGAGAGCCCTGGCTCTGTCAAAGGCCAGGTCCTCTGGTTTCAGGAGAAAAGTTTGAAACCTACATTTTAAAGACATTAACAAATTATCAATTTAGCTTATTTAAAACACTGCTGGCCACTGCTCTGCCAGCTACTTGTGGCACCTAGCTCATGTCCTGCATGGCAGACCTCTGTGGATTCTCACTTTCTTCCTTGCTCTCCAGGCCATCAACAGCTTTGCTCATGTGAAAGTCATATGAGCTTCAGCTTTAAAAAGGGGTCAGTACTGTGGCTACTGCCACAGTAGCCAGGTGTGGTCGTGTACGCCTGTCATCCCAGCAACTTGGGAGGCTGAGGCAGGAGGACTGCAGTTTGTGGCCAGCCTCAGCAATTTAGCAAGGCCCAAAGCAACTCAGCAAGACTCTGTCTCAAAGTAAAAAATAAAAAAAGGGCTGAGATGTGGCTCAGTGGTAAAGTGCTACTGAGAGCTACATTCAGTACAAAAGAGAGAGAGAGAGAGAGAGAGAGAGAGAGAGAGAGAGAGAGAGGAAGAAGAAGAAGAAGAAGAAGAAGAAGAAGAGGAGGAGGAGGAGGAGGAGGAGGAGGAGGAAGCTATATTGTTAATAACCTGTTGAACCTGCTGTTCATTTGTTCATTCATTCATTCATCCAACACTTTCTGGGCACTGGTTTCAAGCCAGGCCCTGTCCAAGTGCTGAGGACTCTAAGCTTGAGTGAAAGGGCCCTTATCTTCAGAGAGCTCCCTGTCCAGTGGGAAGACAGTATAAATAATCACAACACGCTGCCATGACAGGATGTGCAAGATGCTGCAGAAGCATCAGGGTGGTAGGTGAGCTCTGCCTGAGGGTCACAGAAGGCTTCTGAGTTGAGGCTGGAAGGGTGAGAGGTAATTTATTGGTTGAAGAGAGGGAACAACCTTCTGAATAGGAGCAATTGCTTGTGCAAGGCATAGATCTAGGGGAGCAGGCTATATTCTTGGTCTGCAGCAGGTTGTGTGGCAGGTGGAAGTAGTGGGGAGGGGTCAGGGGGTGTGTTTTGGAAGAACAGTGTTCTAGATCTGCATTAGACTCTCTGAAGGCATTGCATGCCAGGCCCAGGAGGTTAGACCTCAGTGTGCAGGGTCTGTCAACAGAAGAATGATCCGATCAGATTTCTCATCATCTCTCTTTGCCTCTTAGCTGGACACCTCTTTGTTCCTGCTCATCAAACCCATTCTGACTACTACTGTCAGGCTATTTTACCCAAACACTGCTTTGTCACTGCCCTGCCACAAATGAATGCTGGCTTCCTACTTTCCAATGCATGAGTAAGTCCCATTCCTGTCTGGATTTTAAGAGCCTCCAATCCCTAGTTTATTCCCCCCATTGCTCTATAACTTGAATCCTTCACTCTGGTCAGATCTATCTCCTTGCCTGTCATGTCCATTCTGATCTCAGGAGCAGGATCTGCATTTGGGAACTTTCCCTTGGGCAGCAGCAAGGGAATGGTTTGGAAGAAGGGATACACAAGACAGGAACACCATTGCAATCAGCTAAGGGGAGATGAGGTCCCCTTTGGGAGCCTCAGGGAGAGGGCAGAGATATTTAGGAAGCAAGGAGACAAAAGTGTGACTATTGGGCAGGGTCACTATTTCTAACTTCAAGATGGGTAGATGGGGAATGAATCTCTCTGAGGACCCAGCACTTCTGGGTTTCTCTTTGCTCCAGGTAAACACCCATCGAGAGAATGCCTTCAACTTCCTCGGCCAGAGCTTGGAGTATACCAAGAACTCAAGGGCCTCCCTCCGGAAATCTTCAGTCATGTTCATAGGTAACCTGCTCTAACACAACCAGTCCTGCTTCCAGGGGTCTGCCTGCTCTCCAGTCTGCTTCCTTCAAGGCTGCCAGCCCATCCAGTACCTGGGCAGACGCCTCCCCTTATGTGCAAGGCTTGGCCAGCCATCAGCTGTGATGCATGTTACAGTGGTCTTCCCTCCTCAAAGATTGTGGCTAAGAAGTGGGCCTCAGGCTGAGTCAGCCTTAAGCCTTTGTACAGGTCACAATCCTGGCAACTATATACAGCAGACTGCTATTTCCCTTTGGAGTACAGCATGGGTCCGAGCTAAGCAGCAGCCTAGGCAAATCCCCCACTGACTGCAGCAGTAGGGACTAACTGGGTAGAGAGTCAAGTAGAATCTCCCCTCCTGTGTGACTCCAACTGGCTCATTTATTCCCATGGAGCCTCAGTTTCCCCATATGTAAAATAAGGATCAACTCCTATTTCATAGAGTGGATGAGAATATTTTTAAAAAGGTGAGGCCTGGCTCATCAAGGTGTTCAATGTCAGTTGTTTTCATTCTTCTCTTTCCCACAATCACAATCCCTGCCTTTCTTTGAAGAAACCAAATAAGTTACCCTTGTCCCAAATCCTTCCAAACAACCCTTCTGATGGCATGTTGGGGTACCACCCCCTGTTCCTCTACCTTGCCTCCAAATAACCATGCTCCCTTCACTGAGGACCAGGAGACGTTGCTGCAGACAGGCTTCAAGGTGATGACCTTTGTAAAGTGAAGGTTCTTTTATTGCCTTTCCTCAATTAATTTGTTGTTTTTCATCCATCCATTCATTCACCCACCCAGCCAGGCAGCCAGTCCTGCATCCACCCATCCAGCTAACCATCCATCCACCCATCCACCCATCCACTCATCCATTCACCCATCCATCCAGTTAGCCAGCCAACCAGCCAGCCACCCACCCACGTATCCACCCATCCAACTAGCGAGCCATCCATTCATTTATTCGTCCACCCACCCATGCATCCATCCTTCTGTTTTTTTTTTTTTGGCAAGTATTGGTTGACACCTACTATGTACCAGGCATGATGCTTAGGCTAGAGAAAGGAAGAGCCCCTTGGAAGGTGATGCTGATGGGGACAAGGAGCTGGGGAGATGGTCTGTTAACATGATCATGCTGGGACAGAGGAACAATGCCTAGGACTGAGGGCATGCCTGAGAATGTAAGGTGTGCTCAGAAGCAGCTTCTTACATGGAACGCCATCTATTTCCTGGTTGCTGATTCAAGTCTTGCTCCAAATCACCCACTTCTAAAAATGTTAGTGTTTAACAGGCCGTGCCAGACCTGTGCTGGGGAAACAAAGCTGAGCAGAGGCTGGCTCTGCTCACAGACAGCTCCTGACACATTGCAGTGCTTTTTTACCTCTTCTGAGTCATAAATCTTCTGTGAGACTTGAAAGTTATGATCACTACTCTAGAAAAGGGCACAATATGCACACACTTTTGCATGTAATTTTAGGATTCTCAGAGACTTCCCTTTCCACTCTCACTCCCCAAGTATACCTAAGATCAAGAAACTGCTGTCTGGTGGAAGATAAAGATTCATAAATCACAAGTAAAATGCAACATAGTATAGACAGAGAAAACTCTGGAAACATAGACAGGCACCTAACCCAGCCTGGGGGCAGGATCAGGAAGGATTTCTTGCTAAACGGAACATAAAAGGACAAGTAAGCTGTGAGGCAAGGACCTGCTGAGAAGTGAGAGGTTCAGGGACCTGCAGGTGCTGTGGGAGCCAGGCACACAGGCTGGTAGCAGCAACAGATTTGGCCGTGGGGACACTGGGAGCAGTTCCCAGCTACTGAGCTGACCCAGCACAGCTGAGTCTCAGTCCTTCTGGGGACTCTGCTAGCAGCCTGCCTGGCAGGTGTGCAGGGTGCAGAGCATCCTGCATGTTACTGTTGCTCACACTTCCCTGAGGAGTGGATAGCAGGGGCAGCTCCTCCCATGTTACAGCTGAGGAAATTGAGGCCCAGCAGAGTTAAGGGCCCAGCCTGGGGTGGCACTGTCAGTGCGCTGCAGCCCAGATCCTGCCCCTATTCTGATGCTATCCCTGCCTGCTGGACCTTTCCCAGCCCCTCTTAAGGAATCTGATCCCAATCAAAATGAAGTTCTCCTTTCATGCCCTCAGTTGTAGGCTGCAGGAGGACAAGGAAAGCTTCCCTGAGGGCCTGGTGTGGGGATGAGGTGGGTGGTGTCATAATCAGATGGACACCCTCACCTTTTGGATTATGCTCAAGGGTCCCTGGTCCCCTGCATGGAGAGTATAATGACAGAAGACTGGCTGAATGAAGTGAAAGGTGGTAAGTAGTGCCTGGGTGGGTGATGTGTCTGGAGCAGTGATTCAGCAAACAGGATCAGGGTGGGCAATAGGAATGGAGGGCATGTCCTAAGGCAAGGTCTTCGGCTCACTTCAGCTCTGCTCGTTGTTAGCTGGGGCAAGCACAGTGTTAGATGCCTTGGGGCTGTTAAGAGGCAGAACACACAGCCCCACTCTGGGGTGCTTACATCTTATTAAAGAAATGAGTTTCAAAAAGGATAACAGAAACCACATCATGCAGAGTGAATAGTCTAGACCCTTAAGGGGACACATGTTCATTTTGTAACAGTGAAGACAATGGGAACATGGAGGCGGGCTGGGGCAATCCGAGGGCTTCCTAGAGGAGGCTGGTTTTGATTCAGGCATTGAAAGGTGTGAACAATCAAGGGCTGGGAGGAAAGTGAGATGAGGGGAGGTGGAGAGAGGGCACCTAAGCCAAGGAATAGAGGAAGGATGAGGTGTGAGACCTGCTGAGGGATCTTAACACGTGGCCTTCCTCCTCCCATGACTCAGCTCTGGAAAACTTGAGACATGATCCAGAAGCATCAGTGTGCATCTGTGCGGCCCAGGCCCAGGACCACATCCTGGCCAGCTGCTGGCGGAACTCATGGCCGCTGCCACGTGGGGACTCATGGATGTGTGACCCAGCCACCACTCACCGCTGGAGCCCCAGCTGTGAGAAGCTGCCCACTTCCCACCAACGGCGCTCCTGGATCATGCAGGCACTGAACTCCTGGAAGATGTCGTTGAAGCAGTGATGTCCCAGAGTCCCCATCCATGCTCAAGGTGGCCAAGTGCAACTGTGCTCACTATAAATGCCCGGTGGCTTACCTCTCCATCGTGAGCGTTTCCCCATGGGAGATGCCCCAGGCTCCAAGCAGCCATCACTCTGTGTGATGAATCTGTGAGGATTTGTCATAGCCTTTGCTTGTTGACTCATTTGACATTTACTGATAAATGTAGGCTGTTTTGTCCACTTTGTATAACTGGGGAAGCTGAGGCTCAGAGGGGCGAAGGGGCTTGCCCAAGGCTGCACTGTAAGCCTGTTGGACGTCTTCCCTTCATTATAAGAGCAAAAGGAGGTGATGATTTGGATGCCCTTTGGGGGAAGGAAAGGAGGGGAAGAGACACCCCCAACTCTATGACATCTGTATATCTCAGAACCCTGATCTCTAAGACCCACCCTTGGGTTTTTGGCCTGGTGATTTTCCACCACAGATTCAAGCAGTATTTGTGGGACCTCTTAACCTGGGCCAGGACTGCTCTGGATGCCAGTGATACAGACATAAATGAGACCCACCCCAGGTCCTGAGCCCAGGTCCAGAGTATGATGCAGCAGTTCTCAATTAGGGGTACTTCTGATCCCCTGGGAATATTTCACAACATCCAGAAATATTTCTGGCTAATGACTTGAGGGTGGGGATGCTATTAACATCTGGTGGACAGAGACTAAGGGATGCTACTAAGCAAAGCATTCCACAATGCACAGGACAGTCCCCACAGTCATTCAGTTCAAATTGTTTAAAATGCTGAGGCAGACAAATTTTGGTCTAACAGATGAATCAGATATATATAAAGACACACCAAAAGTACAACAGGGGGTTTGGGAGACTTTGGAGTCCAGAGGAGGTATGTAGGCCAGGTGGGGGTCAGGCAAGTTTTCCCAAGAAGTGAACCCCCGGGGGTGGGTTAAAGATGACTACACAGTGGGCACGTATGGAGGGGAGCAGGGTATGCAGGACCAAGAACCAACCACAGGTTTGTTGTGGGATGAAGCCTAGAGGGCAGAGAGAGGACATAGGGGAGGCTGTGTCAAGGAGGAGGACTTCATCCACAGGAAGGCATTGTGGGATGCTAAGCAGGGAGAGAGATGGGTGAATGTCAGCTTTAGAAAGCTTCCTCATACGGATACAGGTGGGGCATACATTGGTACAGCTATTTGGGATTGGAACCTGTCACTATTTGGTCATAGTTTATGCCTACACACGACCCAGCAATTCCACTTGTGATGGATGACTGAGCCAATGGTGACAACATGTTTAGAGGTGATCCAGGGCCAGAGGAGGGTGGGCAGGGTGGGGAATAAAGCAGGGGATAAAGGTCAGTCTGGACACAGTGAATTGAAGACCTTGTCAACATGATAGTGAAGCCATCCATGAGGGTGCTGTCTGCTTCTGTGGACAGAATATGTCACCCCAAAATTCATATGTTGAAATTCTGAACCCCAATATGATGCTATTAAGAAGTGAGGATTGGGGCTGGGGTTGTGGCTCAGCAGTAAAGCACTCGCCTAGCACATGTGAGACACTGAGTTTGATCCTTGGCACCACATACAAATAAAATAAAGGTATAGTGTCCACCTACAACTAAAATTTAAGAAGAGGGTCTTTAAGAGGTGATTCAGGGCTTAGTGCTCTTATAAGAGATACCAGAGAGCTCCTTCATCACTTCTGCCATGTGAGGACATGGTAAAAAAGATGGTGCATATGAAGCAGAAGCTGTCCCTTACCATATATAATTCTGTTGGTGTCTTCATCTCGGACCCTCTAGCCTCCAAAACTGCGAGGAATAAACATTTTGTTGTTTATAAATCACAAAATTTATGATATTTTGTTATAGCAGCCTGAACATACTAAGGCAGCTGCATAAGGTGGAGCTCAGCAGAGGGTCTGAGATGAAAACAAACATTTGTGCACAGTGAGGTGGGGGAGGGACAGCATGGGAGTGACAGAAGCCTAAGGACCACATCATCTAAGCTTCTGCTGTGGATGAGGAACCAATGAAGTTGACCACACAGTTGTCTTCCAGTAAATGGTAGGTCAAGATCATTGGGATACTGGACCAGAGGGTGGGAGTGTGTGGGGGGAGTCCATTTGCACAACCCTTTAACTGCCAAGAATGTTCATAACCATTGCCTCTGTGAGACTTACAGTAGCCCTGGGGATTGAGGGAGGGCAGGTCAGCTTTCTTGCCCACATTCCACAGATGAAGACACAGCCTGACACTTCTTAAGGAGGGATGGGCCTTGCAAAGGTCATATAAGGGGACCAGTGGAGGCACTGATCTCCAAGCCACAGCCAAGCTCTCTCTGTTCAGAGGCACTGCTGTTTTCATTGGTCAGAACCCAGGTCTGGATGATCTTCACAACAATCGCTGTATTCTGTGTCTGGATGGCCTCTGAGCATAGTAGAGATTTGGTCAGTTATTGGCCAAGTAGTCTTTTTTTTTTTAAAAAATATTTATTTATTTTAGTTTTCGGCGGACACAACATCTTTGTTTGTATGTGGTGCTGAGGATCGAACCCGGGCCGCACGCATGCCAGGCGAGCACGCTACCGCTTGAGCCACATCCCCAGCCCGGCCAAGTAGTCTTGAGTTGGAAGGTTCAAGAACACTGGGCAGGTCACTTCCTCTCTCTGAGTCTCCCCTGCTATTACTTGAAAAACGTGTTTGTACAGATTCTATAAGGATCAAGTGAAAAAAAATGGAAGCCACTGTGGACTGAACACTGCTTGTCCCCACCCAAACTCGTGTTGTGGCTTGGTCTTCAATGAGTGGTACTGGGAGGTGGGGCCTGGAAGCAGAGCCTCATGAATGGATTGCTGCCTTTCTTGCATGAGTTCTTGTTCTCACAGGACTGGCTAGTCACTGTAAGAGAGGGTTGTCATAAAGCAAGCCCACTTTGGTAGTCTCTGTTTTGCACATGCCTGTTCTTTGTACATGCTTCCTGCCATGAGTTGAAGCTGCAGGAAGCCCTTGCCAGAAGCTGAGAAGATGCTAGTATCATGCTCTTGGATTTCCCAGCCTCTAGAATCATAAGCCAAAATAAATCTCTTTTTAAAATAAATTACCCATTCTCAGGTATTCTGTTATAGCAACAGAAAATGGACTAATACAGAAACAAAGGCACTTTATAGGCTCTGTAGTTAAGAAGGGAAAAGATAATGAAGAGGGGAATTAGGAAGAAAACCAGGATTAGGGAGTGAGCATGGAGAAGTATAAAAAAGGAGGCTTGGATCTGGAGGAAAGGGAACACTTGGACCAGGTGTTCTGACAGAGTTAAAAGAAAGACAGTCCAGACCCTGGGAAGGTGATGATCCTCCCGCATCCTCTTGAGTTTTGCTCTCCCTCATCCCCATATCGGCTAAGCCTGCCAGCTCCACTGCTGGCTCACCAGCAGCTTCCTTATCAATCTTGTAATTCAGACTCCCTCCACCAGTCCTTTACCTGGCAGCTCAGGCTTTCCAAAGATAAATTGGCTTATGGCTTTCCTTCTCTTTGGGTCTTTTCAGTGGCTCACTCTTCTCTGCACGATAAAGGCTAATAGGGCAGTCAGGCCCTCTGGCCTCTGTCCACCTTAGTGGCCTCACCTCTTAGATCTTGCAGTACCATAGCAGGCCTCTCTCTGCATATGGGCAACCACTGTCTGAATTTCCCAGCTCCCTCCAGACTCCTATCCATGTGCAGAGATCTTCCTCATCTGCTCTCAGCTCTGTGTCACCTTCTATGTTTGGCCTTCCTAGACCCGGATCTTCTGTGTCTCCATTATGCACACTTGTAACTTAGTGCCAGTTTAGATTGGTCTATTACCTGTCTGCTTTTTATTCTAGACCAAGGCCATGACAGCCCATACAGCCCTGCAGCCATCTGCAGGGTGACCAGGTGGTTTCTGAATGCCACTTCAGGAAGCCACAGTAGCTGGATAAGCAGGCTCACCTCATCTGAACTGCACACCCTATTCCCAGGCCAGTTGTGGGGGTGAGGAGGTAGTTAGGCTCAGAAATAGACACATTTGCTGGTGGCAGTGGTTCATGCCTATAATCTATCCCAGGGGCTTGGGAGGCTGAGACAGGAGAATTGCAAATTCAAAGCCAGCCTCAGCAATAGCGAGGTGCTCAGCAACTCAGTGAAACCCTGTTTCTAAATAAAAATACAAAATAGGGCTGGGGGTGTGGCTCAGTGGTTGAGTGCCCCTGAGTTCAATCCCAGTACCACTTCCCCTCCAAAAAAAATTAAAAAAAAAGGGAACTAGACACATCTGATCAGTTAGTTACTCCTTTCCTTAAATGTCCTACGCCACCTTAAGGAAAGACAAGTCCTCACAATCACATCCTCTTTGTACCTCCCATCTCTCATTCCCTGGCCCCATCTCATTCTGCTTCAGATACTCTGGCCTCCTTTTCGGGGGGAGGGCTCCTGAGTGTTCCACAGGCAGGGGTGCCCACCTGCTCCTTCCTGGGCATCATGCTGTCCATTCCCTCTGTCGGAACAAACATCTCCTGGTCTTTCCCAGGCCTCCCCTTTGCTTGAATGGCTGTCCACCCTACTTGGCACTTTTCTCCAACAGCTCTTCTACCACCTGACAAACTCTCACATCTCATCCCTTCTCCATGTCTCCACTCTGGTGTCTACGGGGCAGGTTTCATCTGCTCTGTCCATCACTCTGAACCCAGGGCTTAGAAGTTATAGCAAACAGAAGGAGCTTAGTAACTTCTTGCTAACAAGTGAATGAAGTAATAGTGGGGACTCAGTGGGGCCTGAGCTTACCCACCACCGCTAAAGCACTGGAGGAAGTCCGGGCTGGAGAGGTACTCCTTAGAGAGGGGTGGAGCCTGGGCGTGCAGGCGGGCGGAACCCGAGGCGCGCGGGTCAGGGCCACCCGGAGGATTGAGCAAAGGGCACCCGCACCGCCGGAAGAAGCCGCGCGCGGGTCTGCCCCAGGATCGGAGCGGGAGGTCCTAGAACTGCTATGGAGCGCTCTCAGCCTGACGCTGCTGACGACAACGCCATGGACTCGTTCCTAGACAAGTTCCAGAGCCAGCCTTACCGCGGCGGCTTCCACGAGGACCAGTGGGAGGAGGTGGGCGGTCCCGGGGACTCGGCACGTGTACGGGGCCGTCCTCTGGACTCCTGGGGCTCCGCGGTGTCTCCCGCAAGCCCAGGTCCCTGTAGCTGCCAGCGGGTGGATGGTTTCTAGTTGAGTATTAGCGATTGGCCTTGAGGTTTGAGAGTCTTCTTAAGCTGTCAGTACTTTCAGGAGTACCGGGTTAGCAGTCAGGCCTGTGACGCCGTCACCTACCGGCTCTGACACTGGTTAGTTTACTAAGTTCTCTGAGCGGGTTTCCTCTTTTGGAAAATTGCCCTACCTGTGGCACCAATCACTTAGGGTTGTGGCAAAGATAAAATGAAGCGTCAGGAACATAAGAGCGCTCAATTAATGGTAATTACTACTGCCCTTGTAGAATCCTGTAGAATGTGAGAACTGAAAGAATAGATGTCGTTATCCTGCATTCTCATTTTACAAAAAGGATTCAGCCAATCACGATAATTTGCAGATTGTGATGAATAAGAAAATGTTGATGATGAGTCATGGATTGGCTTTACTCAATAGAAAAAGTTTATTCATGCTGTTCATTATGGTTTTAAAATTCAGGAATTTGACAAGATCCCCTTATTTATGAAGAAAGCACCATCAGAAATTGATCCCAAAGAGAATCCTGACTTGGCTTGCCTCCAGTCAATTATTTTTGATGAGGATCGATCTCCAGAAGGTATCTTACGTGACTAGCATTTGTTTTGTATTGAGATAATGTGTGAGTCAGAAAGGTTCTGATTGATAAGAAGTAGTTTGCATGAGCTAATTTGTCACTGTTCACACATATTTCTTTGGGTACCTACAGATTGCCAGGCTTTGGGGACATGGGGGTAAATAAGACACAGTTCCCGCCTTCAAAGGTCAGGCTCCAGTGAGAAGCTAAATTGTGCTGAAGAATTAGGACAAACTTGTGTTAAGTGCCAATGTATATACTATAGCTGTAGTGAGTGCTATTGGAACGCTGAAGGAGCAGGAGTGGCCTCTCAGTGGATTGGAAATTTGAGCTGAATCTTAACAATTTTGTAGGCTTTGACTAGGGCAAGGAAGGGGTGGGGTTTGCATCCCAGAGAATAAAATAGTATAAATAAAAGCAGAGGGGCAGGGGATATAGCTCTATTGGTAAAGTGCTTGCCTTGCATACCCAAGGCCCTGGGTTCAATCCTCAGCACCAAAAATAAATAAATAAATAAATAAAGTGTAACCCCTCCCATTTCCTCAGTAATTAAAAAAAAAAAATCCTGTTTTCAAAAGCTAGGATAAATATACTTTTTTCCCCCTTTATACTTCTTTTTCTTTTTTGCTAAGTATTTAGTAATGTACCTTGTAAAATATTTGGAATTGATTGAAGCATTAAGTTTTCATGACATTGTTTCTCCATATTGACACTCCTGTTTTTTTTTTTTGTGTGTGTGTGTGTGTGTGTGGTACTTGGGATTGAACCCAGAGATGCTTACCCACTGAGCTCCATTCCCAGTCCTTTTATTTTTTATTTTGAGTTAGGGCTTGCTAAGTTGCTGATGGCTTTACAAAGTTGTTGAGGCAGAGGCCTCAAACTTGGGATCATCCTGCCTCAACTCAGACTCAACCTGAGTCTCTAGGATTACAGGCATGCCACCCCATACCCCACACAGTGCCTAGTTAATACCCATTTTTATCACAGCATTACTTTTGAGTTTCCTTTCCCTATTGATTTCTTTTTCCTGTTGGTTTCTTCTCTTTGACTTATCATTTATTAAATTAATACATGATTTAAAATCTTCTTAATGGGTCTTTTAAAAAGTGGGAAATAGTGACTATTTTTTTTCTTTTTTGCAGAACAAGCCAAAACCTATAAAGATGAAGGCAATGACTACTTTAAAGAAAAAGACTATAAGAAAGCTGTGATTTCGTACACTGAAGGATTAAAGAAAAAATGTGCAGATCCTGATTTAAATGCTGTCCTTTATACTAACCGGGCAGCAGCACAGTACCATCTGGGTAATTTATTTCATTATTAAGTGCTTTCTAAAGAAATTACTTATGATAAAAGCCATTAGATGGCTAGAGGAGGTTTTGAGAATGTCAGAGAAAGAGGGGCTGTTCATCCCAGAAATCGAGACTAAGGATCATTTATTCCAATTGAGTTTTGATCTTCTTTGTAAACATGGTGAGAAGGAAACATAATTTTTACTATCTGAAACAAAAAAAAAGTTACTTTATAAGGTATTTGATGTATGTGAATCAGTATGATCTGTGATCTTTAAGCCCCAATGCTTCTGTACTTTCAAAGTGTTTTTTGTTTTTTTTCCCCCCTGGCCTTTTATCCTCTTCTCAAGAATGCTGAAGGATTAAAGCAGCAGAGCACTTTAGGTGAGAAAAGCTGTAATCTAAGGGGAAATTTCTCAGTATTTTATGGAACTCTTGAAGTAAAAAATATTTCTTAGATGAGGAAGTTTAGAAAATGCTGCTTTTCTGCTGGAGATTTTCAGTATGTATTAACATTTAACACCGAATAGCCTACAACAAAAAAACCTTATCCTGGGTTTCTCAAGTTTGTTGTCCCCTTTTCAGATAAAACATTATGCAGGGCTGTTCTGCTGATATGATTTTAGGAAGTGCTGATTATTTAAGTAGTAGTATTGCTGGGGACTAGTTTGAGTCATATTAGGCCCTTGTTTATAATCACAGAGTTTAAAGAGGACCTGCGGGTAACCTCAGGCATTTCTGAGGGTCCAGTAGAAAACAAGTGCTGTAGTCTTGCTGGAATAGTTTTTTCTAACTCATCACCATTTGAACAGTTTATCTCTAAGGCAGGTCTCCCTCAGTCTGTTTCATTAGAAAATTTGAAAAAGTAAAAGTGGTACCGAAATTGAAAGATTATTTAAGCTAGCAAACCCCTTCAGTTTACATAATTTCGAGAGGGTGCTTTTCATTAGTGCCTGAACCTAAACTGGAAACTTGTCTTTAATTTCAGGAGGAATATTTTTTCTTTA